CAATCTAGTTTTTAATAGCTGTATTAAGATGTTTTGACATGTAAAAAATTTATTAATTACCAGTGCTAGTTACATTTTTTAAAATACAGGATAGATTGCGAATGTAATACAAGTTTAAAAACAGAATTTTAAACTTAGACCAAATTTGATAGGATATCACACAGGCTGGGATAGTTTCAAATGGGCAACATCCAAATTTTGACAGTCATTCTCGCTACCACATTCGACCACCTCGTCCCACTACAATTCCACGACCTATAAACCTAGTACTCTCCAAGACCAATGATCCTAAAACCGAAACACATCAATGCCTGTTGGGTATGTGCCCACAGAACTGATGACCAGCATTAAGGTGATCTTCCAGCTGGTGAGCTCCGAGTTTGTGGCCTGTGAACGTGTGTACTTGACCCAGGTCAACGACAACACGGTCGACGTCTCCTGCGTCACCAACACACTTCCGGTCATCGAGGTCCGCTTCATCTGGGCCTCCAACAACATCCCCTGCTCCCTCTACATCAGCAAAGGTTTGTTTAATAAAACCCTAAACCTAACTTTCTACACCAGCAAAGGTTTGTTTAATAAAACCCTAAACCTAACTTTCTACACCAGCAAAGGTTTGTTTAATAAAACCCTAGACCTAACTTTCTACACCAGCAAAGGTTTGTTTAATAAAACCTTAAACCTAACTTTCTACACCAGCAAAGGTTTGTTTAATAAAACCCTAAACCTAACTTTCTACACCAGCAAAGGTAAGGTTTGTCTAATAAAACCCTAGACCTAACTTTCTACATCAGCAAAGGTTTGTTTAATAAAACCCTAAACCTAACTTTCTACACCAGCAAAGGTAAGGTTTGTCTAATAAAACCCTAGACCTAACTTTCTACACCAGCAAAGGTTTGTTTAATAAAACCTTAAACCTAACTTTCTACACCAGCAAAGGTTTGTTTAATAAAACCCTAAACCTAACTTTCTACACCAGCAAAGGTTTGTTTAATAAAACCCTAAACCTAACTTTCTACACCAGCAAAGGTTTGTTTAATAAAACCCTAAACCTAACTTTCTACACCAGCAAAGGTTTGTTTAATAAAACCCTAAACCTAACTTTCTACACCAGCAAAGGTTTGTTTAATAAAACCCTAAACCTAACTTTCTACACCAGCAAAGGTTTGTTTAATAAAACCCTAAATCTAACTTTCTACACCAGCAAAGGTAAGGTTTGTCTAATAAAACCCTAGACCTAACTTTCTACATCAGCAAAGGTTTGTTTAATAAAACCCTAAACCTAACTTTCTACACCAGCAAAGGTAAGGTTTGTCTAATAAAACCCTAGACCTAACTTTCTACATCAGCAAAGGTAAGGTTTGTCTAATAAAACCCTAGACCTAACTTTCTACATCAGCAAAGGTTTGTTTTGAAACTCTAAACCTATTTTTGTAAATAAGCAAAGGTAAGGTTTTTGTTTTTTAAAAACCCTAAACTTAACTCTCTACATCAGCAAAGGTAAGTTTTTATTTAAATTCTAAACCTAACCCTATTAGCAAGGGTAGTTTTCAAAATAAATAAAAAAACTTAAACCCCAACACAACTTTTCTAGATTTACATCATAGATGGTAAGTATTAAAAATTCAAACATAAACCCTAACTTTCCAATCCAGCTAATGTAAGGTTTTTAAAAACATAATATATTTGCAGAGGTGAAAATTGTCTGTTTTTGTCATATGTGTCCCATCTACGCTGTTTTATAGCCTGTATTTAAAAACAAGTAATTAAAAAAAGTCTAGTGACAATTTTAGCGCAATTTCCTTGTGTTATCTAAAAATAGCTCTGTCGTAGCGTAAATCAAGAGCAGGGTTAGTAAAATCATTGGTTAGTTATTAAAACGTTTTTTATTAATTTTTTTTTCAGTATTTTACATGTTTTATTTACAATAGAGTAACATGACTAAAAACCATTGCGCGCCCAGCTACCGAACGTGACGTCGCAGCCATTGAACGTGATGGCGCAGCTATTGAACGTGATGACGCGTGTGGTGTGGTTGCATAAAATGCCTACTAATTCGGTCGAAATTTTAATTAATTCAAAAATTTTTAGTGACCGAACGAAAGGATATTTTTGAAAACTTTCTTTGGCAATATTGTTTTAAATTATGGCAGGAATCGATTGGTACATATTTCAAGTCGCTAAGTGGTCTGGTTGCCGAGATATGGTCCAAAAACTGCATTTATCCGAGGTTTTTTGGCTTTTCCGGGAAATCCATGAAAGAAACCCGGAATTTTTATGGCCTATGTTCATCCTCGTAACTTGCTTAACATAATTGCTTTTGAAACTAGTCCTCGATATTGCTTCGTTGAGGAGGAGATACGACTTAAAGCTGCGGACACACATCCATCCATTCATCCATCCATTCCCAGAAAAGACGAGTTAATAAACGCAATTCTCCAGAATCGAAATTGCGCTAAAAATAATGCCCTTTTGCAAATACGTTCTTAGGACGGGGTCTATCCTACAAGGCAGCAACAAGATCGGCCGCAACAAATGCCATGGTACCCCAGGCGGTGGATGATGACATAAAAACCTGCTGGAGAAGCACCCTCGAGTTGACCTCAACAGACACCTTATCCATGGTGCTACCTGCCGTGTTTGAAGTCAATGGCGTCTGTTTCACATCAAGGAATTGTAAGTCATGTTTTCGCAATTTTGTCTAGATTAAGCCTCTATTGGACAGTCGTTTTAGTTTTTAACTTGCTCTAATAGTCGAATACTCGTTTATAATCTTCAAAGTTGAAACAGTGAAATAATGAGTTTCTGTATAGTTGAAACTGTGAAATACTATACTGGCATTTTTTTTAATCATTGAAATACTGGCATTTTTTTTATCATTGAAATACTGGCATTATATAACATGGAAACAGTGAAATACTGGCATTATTTTAACATTGACAAAGTGAAATACTGGCAATATTTTAACATTGAAACAGTGAAATACTGGCATTATTTTAACATTGACACAGTGAAATACTGGCATTATTTTAACATTGACACAGTGAAATACTGGCATTATTTTAACATTGGCACAGTGAAAAACTGGCAATATTTTAACATTGAAACAGTGAAATACTGGCATTATTTTAACATTGACACAGTGAAATACTGGCATTATTTTAACATTGGCACAGTGAAATACTGGCATTATTTTAACATTGACACAGTGAAATACTGGCATTATTTTAACATTGACACAGTGAAATACTGGCATTATTTTAACATTGGCACAGTGAAATACTGGCATTATTTTAACATTGACACAGTGAAATACTGGCATTATTTTAACATTGACACAGTGAAATACTGGCATTATTTTAACATTGACACAGTGAAATACTGGCATTATTTTAACATTGACACAGTGAAATACTGGCATTATTTTAACATTGACACAGTGAAATACTGGCATTATTTTAACATTAAAATAGTGATATACTGGCATTATTTTAACATTAAAATAGTGATATACTGGCATTATTTTAACATTATTTTAACATTGAAACTGTGAAATACTGGCATTATTTTAACATTGACACAGTGAAATACTGGCATTATTTTAACATTGACACAGTGAAATACTGGCATTATTTTAACATTGACACAGTGAAATACTGGCATTATTTTAACATTGACACAGTGATATACTTGCATTATTTTAACATTGACACAGTGAAATACTGGCATTATTTTAACATTGGCACAGTGAAATACTGGCATTATTTTAAAATTGGCACAGTGAAATACTGGCATTATTTTAACATTGACACAGTGAAATACTGGCATTATTTTAACATTGAAACAGTGAAATACTGGCATTATTTTAACATTGAAACAGTGAAATACTGGCATTATTTTAACATTGAAACAGTGAAATACTGGCATTATTTTAACATTGGCACAGTGAAATACTGGCATTATTTTAACATTGATACAGTGAAATACTGGCATTATTTTAACATTGACACAGTGAAATACTGGCATTATTTTAACATTGGCACAGTGAAATACTGGCATTATTTTAACATTGACACAGTGAAATACTGGCATTATTTTAACATTGACACAGTGAAATACTGGCATTATTTTAACATTGACACAGTGAAATACTGGCATTATTTTAACATTGACACAGTGAAATACTGGCATTATTTTAACATTGACACAGTGAAATACTGGCATGATTTTAACATTAAAATAGTGATATACTGGCATTATTTTAACATAATTTTAACATTGAAACTGTGAAATACTGGCATTATTTTAACATTGACACAGTGAAATACTGGCATTATTTTAACATTGACACAGTGAAATACTGGCATTATTTTAACATTGACACAGTGAAATACTGGCATTATTTTAACATTGACACAGTGAAATACTGGCATTATTTTAACATTGAAACAGTGAAATACTGGCATTATTTCTTCGACGCGGACGGCAACAAATACGCGCCCTTTTTCGACCGTGACCCTGACCGTGACGACTTCTGTCTGGCACAGAAGCAGCCGACCATCGTGACCAACTTCTCGACCAAAATCCAGAGGAAAGGGATGGATTCAACAGAAGTATCTCTGTGTGAGCTGGTCGTTAATGGAGGTCAGTGCTCACACAAGTGCACGCACCAACTTCTGGTTTTTCTTAATGTATTGCAATATACTCACACTGACACACGCACACACAGAAGCACGCATACACACACGGAATTATGCACGAACGCAAAAAAATAAGTATGCATATATATATATATATATATATATATATATATATATATATATATATATATATATATATATATACATAATATGTATATATGGAAACGTATATCCAGACTGTGCACCACCAGCATATGGCCTAGCGTGTGAGTACATTTGTAGCAGAAACTGTCTAGAACGAAGATGCTACCTGACAGGTGAATGCATGGCTTGTGCCAGTGGGACCCTAGGCAAGTTCTGTGAGCGAGGTGAGTGGTTCTCTACTTGGTGGAGACGTCTGATGTTGTGTAGGTGAGTAGTTGACGTCTGATGTTGTGTAGGTGAGTAGTTGACGTCGGATGTTGTGTAGGTGAGTAGTTGACGTCTAATGTTGTGTAGGTGAGTAGTTGACGTCTAATGTTGTGTAGGTGAGTAGTTGACGTCTAATGTTGTGTAGGTGAGTAGTTGAATTCGGATGTTGTGTAGGTGAGTAGTTGACGTCGGATGTTGTGAAGGTGAGTAGTTCTCTACCTGGTGGAGACGTCTGATGGTGTGTAGGTGAGTAGTTGACGTCGGATGTTGTGTAGGTGAGTAGTTGACGTCTAATGTTGTGTAGGTGAGTAGTTGACGTCTAATGTTGTGTAGGTGAGTAGTTGAATTCGGATGTTGTGTAGGTGAGTAGTTGACGTCGGATGTTGTGTAGGTGAGTAGTTGACGTCTGATGTTGTGTAGGTGAGTAGTTGACGTCGGATGTTGTGTAGGTGAGTAGTTGACGTCTGATGTTGTGTAGGTGAGTAGTTGACGTCTAATGTTGTGTAGGTGAGTAGTTGACGTCTGATGTTGTGTAGGTGAGTAGTTGACGTCTAATGTTGTGTAGGTGAGTAGTTGACGTCTGATGTTGTGTAGGTGAGTAGTTGGCGTCTGATGTTGTGTAGGTGAATAGTTGACGTCTGATGTTGTGTAGGTGATTAGTTCTCTACCTAGTGGAGACGCCTAATGTTGTGTAGGTGAGTAGTTGATGTCTGATGTTGTGTAGGTGAGTAGTTCTCTACCTGGTGGGGACGTCTAATGTTGTGTAGGTGAGTAGTTGACGTCTGATGTTGTGTAGGTGAGCAGTTGACGTCTGATGTTGTGTAGGTGAGTAGTTGACGTCTGATGTTGTGTAGGTGAGTAGTTGGCGTCTGATGTTGTGTAGGTGAATAGTTGACGTCTGATGTTGTGTAGGTGATTAGTTCTCTACCTAGTGGAGACGCCTAATGTTGTGTAGGTGAGTAGTTGATGTCTGATGGTGTGTAGGTGAGTAGTTGACGTCTGATGTTGTGTAGGTGAGTAGTTCTCTACCTAGTGGAGACGCCTAATGTTGTGTAGGTGAGTAGTTGATGTCTGATGGTGTGTAGGTGAGGCGTCAATAATACCCGTCTGATGTTGTCGAGGTGGGTTGTCCATTGTTGCCCGTCTGTTTTTTTTAGGTGAGCCGTCAATAGTTGCTCAATTGATTGTATAGGTCAAATAATTTTAGGAGTTTATATGACGTCACGCTTTTTGGGACGATTTTTACCTCACTCCACATTCTCACACATCGTTGCCAAAAAGTCAAACCCCCACCCCATCACAAAAAGCCCACCCGCCTCCAAAAAAAAAAAAATGACGTAAAGACTTTGCTTACAACCCTGCTAAAATGAATTTTTTCCCGATTTTTAAATATTTGAAAATGTTTTTCTGAGCTTGGTCATATGTATACCGATTTCTGAAAAAAAATTGCAAAAATCAAAAACAATATAACAACAACAACGTCCAACATTCTGAATCTCCTTCCTTCTCCACCCCTCGTCACAAAATTCCGAACCCACTCCCCCAAGAAGTATGACTTCGTTTATGGACGACCTTAGGACAATACTTATATACTTAACTAGTCTGGAGCCAACAACCACGAAACATGAAGTTTACCCGATGTCTAAAACTTTCAACCATTTTCTATCTTGTAAACAGTGGGCGAGGAAGAGTTCGAGAGTTTGGAGCTGGTGAACTTCATCCCCCCTCAGCAGAAACATGGACCAGTCCCCAAGCCTCGTGGGCAGAGTGTGATGCTTAGTAGCGAGTCCATTATCTTGCTAGTCATGGGGGTGGCAACCTTCATCTCTATCGTCATCTCTGTCTGTGTCTACAATAAGTTCAACACAGGGGAGTACGAGGAGATAACTGCGGAGGAGTACTTCCGGTGAGGTTATGCTTACACCACTAAAAGTAGTACCTATTGGAAATTGTTATAGTATTACGGGCAACTTTTGTCTTAGATCAGGCATCTTAAAATACAACATTAGTAACGCTAATAAGTAGCATCCAGTCACTCTTGGGTTTATACCAACTCTTAAAATAAATTTTTAACGTGATAAAGAAAGACTCCTGTAGAGTTTTGTCACTAAGACATCTTTGTTTACATGATCCAGTAAAAAAAAAAACAAGGTCACGCGTCTAAAAATATACACGGTCTTGGTGACGCATTGATGAAATCCCGCGTTAGTCTTTCTTCTGAGACCGCAGCAACGCGTGGGGCAGTTCGCTAGTAGTCCATAAAGTAACTTCAAGTATTTTGAATCTATCGTTGCATTTGTCAGTAAAAAAAAAAAGACAACCCCACCCCCAAAAGAAAAGTAAAAACATCCCCTCTTAAAATAAATATAACTATTAATTCGTATTATTTTGTAGAAAATCGTCACATTTTAAACCACACGCCTCCACACACACACACACAATTTCACAAAATTCCTTCCCACTCCTATGTTGTTATGGGGCATTTCTTTATTTTCTAAACTTCATATTTATAAATAAAAAATATTGCTCCATCACTAGGCGCAAGTGGGAAGAGAACTGATTTCAACATATCCCGGGAATGTGGTCAGAGAACTAATGTCAACATATCCCGGGTCCCTCACTTCAACGTTGACCAACGACCCGTGTGCTGGCATCGACCCGTGTGGGACGTCTTGACAAGGCAGAAAATACATGACCAACTAATGCCCTTTATATCATACCCAGCGACCCACACTGTCGTGTCCCGTACGAAAACCTCCTAAAGACCTCTATAATTAATGGTGCTCTTGTACGTTTGGAGTGGCAACATTGTGTGATTCTCGCGTCTTGTGTGTAGGTCTCTAGCTCGTGCTAACACAACAACAACACGTGGGACCACTATACTACGCTCAACAGAACAGGAAATCAAGTATGGCTTTACAGTAGTTTTAAATCTGCATACAAGGATTATACACTTTTACAAGATGAGCAATATACTATGGTTGATTTATTAAGTTCATTATTTAAAATCCAAAATTGCATAACTATATCATACATGACAAAGTAAAGAAGTTACACAATATATGACAAAGCTAAGAAGTTACACATTGAATGAGAAAGTTAGCAAGGTACCAACAAATAATGAATGTGTAGCTAACAGCATCATATTTTGTTTGTACATGTTCATTGTTTTGTGTGGATAATAAATGTCAATACATTTTTTACTCAGGCCAATAGCTTTGTGTGTCTTCAATTTTTATGGTACCGACTCACACCACACCTACCACTGCTCCGCCCACAAACTACTCTCATTGACCTAGCCATCCACCTCTGCTACGCCAAATCAGCTACGCATCCGCTCACTCAAACATTCACTCACCTCACCCACTCACCACCTACTCATTCAGCCACTCACCATCTACTCATTAAGCCACTCACCTACACACTTGGCCATCAACACACCAGACAGAGCACACACGATCAAACACACCGTGACGGCCGCCATGCACCACTGGACGATCACCACCGCCAGAGTGAACTCGGTCAGCACCACATTACACGTCACACACGACGCGTCATACGACACGTCATAATACTCGTATTCAGGCGTTACCGTCTCGTCTGTTGTTGCCTGGGTACCTCTGGTTGCTGTAGTTCTAGACTCCACGGCCGTGGCTGTCGTTGAACCAACTGTTCCCGAAGCTGTTGTTGTCAATGAAGTCCAGTTCTTGTTGCCATGGTTACTTAAAGTGCTTTCTGGAATCACATCAACTATCAGATTCACTGTCGTCTGATTCTTCACAGCGGATGTAACGTTGCTAGGTAACGAAGCGTTGCTTGGTAACGTAGCGTTGCTTGGTAACGTAGTGTTAGTGAATCTCGTGGATGTATAATCCGGGTAAAAAGTCAAGTTTTCACCGGTGACGTTCAAGCAATTTCCGGTCATGTAGTTTTTACCACGTACGTCTGCGACCCACACAGTACCTGTGGGAAAATACAGTTCAACTTCAATTCAACAAATCTGGCAGGCGTTTGTTCACAAGTTAAAAATAAAAAGAGAAAATAAATAAAGGTATGGAAAGGGCGGGAATTAATTATTCAAATCAAAGCCAGCAAATACAAGTGTTGACATCAGTTTTAGCTAGAGCTTGAGACAAGTTTAAAATGGCTGCGCAAAAAAAAAAAAAACGTGTTTAGATTTAGAAGAGGCGATTAATTTGATCTTACCAATCGATATAAATTTAAGCCATCGACCACCAAACGATCGATGTCTAGAACTATATAGTATATACTATCACTCCAGCACCCAAATTTCACCAACGAACACACAAGACCACTGACCATCCAAAGAACACAGGCTCTTTAACAAAGACCACATGTTACCCAAAGACCACATAACACACAAAAGACCACATATCACCCAAAAGACCACATATCACCCAAAAGACCACTGACCACCCAAAGACCACAGACCATTTACCAAAGACCACTGAATCAGTGGCGTAGCTAGGATTTTTGGGCCCTATGCAAAAAGTGTTAGTGGGCCCCTCAGAGGCGTAGCGACCCTTTCCGGCAACCGGGGACAAACTTTCGATTTGCATCCCCCCTCAGACTTTCAATTTGCACCCCCCCCCCCCTTAAACTTTCTAAAAAGGGCCCCTATTTGCCTTGGGCCCTTATGCCTTGCTTACGCTAGCTTTACGGTAGCTACGCCACTACACTGAATGACCACTGAACAACCACCTACCACAAATCAGCCAAGCAAAATGAAATGCCGCGACTATGTTCCTGACGACGCTGAAGATTCTCGCGTGCCGATGTTTGTCATCGATTTGAGCCACGGATCCAAAGATGAGGACCACGCCCACGCAGGCGTCCACGAGCAGGTAGATGGGCAGGTAGGGCTGGAGCTCACAGTGCCGGAAGTAGAAGCCACCTGCGACAACAACAGGTAAAACTGACGGTCATTTTTACAGGTAATGCAGAGGGTTAAAGGCTGAATGTTAAGCAAGCAGGTAAAGCTAAAAATCTCATGTTCAATAAAAGCAGAGTTTCTTTCAGGCATCTATTGGGGGGGGGGGGGGAGCGGTCTATGCCCCCCACCCTCAGAACGAAATAGAAAAAGACATTTTACTTAGAAAATAATTTGCATATAAATTATATACGTTAACGTGTGAACGCCCCCCCCCCCCGCCCCCCCCCCCCCCCCGCCCCCCGAAGAAAGTCTACCGCCCCCCAGAACGAAATGGAATTTATATAGAAAATATATACTTTTGACAGTGTCCGCCCCCTCCCCCCGCGGAAATCGTCCCCCCTTCCGAAAATTTCAAGTGCCCCCCCCCCCCCACCGGAGAAAATAGTCTGGAAGAAACACTGCCCCCCCCTAAAATGTAAGTGCGCACCCCTCCCCCAAAAGTTTCAAGTGCCCACCCCCTACGAGAAATATGTCTGAAAGAAACGCTGGACAAAGGCCCACTCACCGACTGCTAGTTTGGCTATTCCAAGGCCGACTCCCACCAGGATGACCAGTACAAAAATTAACAAAGTACCTGAAGAATTAGACGAGAACATTTTACCTTGTGTTTATTTATTGGTGTGTTTTGAATAAGTGCTTACCACAACACTCCTCAAACAAACTCAAATGGTTCTAAAATTAAGCTTACCACACCCATACCAAACAACCCCCCCCCAACGGTTCTAAAATTTAGTTCACCACAACACCTCTCTGTGTCGACTACCACATCGAGCCCCAAACAAAGTCCCAACGGTTCTAAAATTTAGTTCACTACAACACCTCTCTGTGTCGACTACCACATCGAGCCCCAAACAAAGCCCCAGCGGTTCTAAAATTTAGTTCACTACAACACCTCTCTGTGTCGACTACCACATCGAGCCTCAAACAAAGTCCCAACGGTTCTAAAATTTAGTTCACTACAACACCTCTCTGTGTCGACTACCACATCGAGCCCCAAACAAAGCCCCAGCGGTTCTAAAATTTAGTTCACCACAACACCTCTCTGTGTCGACTACCACATCGAGCCCCAAACAAAACCCCAACGGTTCTAAAATGTGTTTACTTACACACAGCCGAGCATAAGATCAGACAGGCGACCACTTTGTTACCGGCAGCCGCTGATTCTGTTCTGGCATTCCGGAACCCGCTGAAGACATCCATGGCTATGGCACCTGGGTGTAGTAGGTCACGGGTAGCTGTCTGAAGATTTGTACAACAGGGTTTTGAGTAGACTTTTCCTAAAGACTGGTAACACATGACGAATTGTTTTAAACTTGATTTAAATCTTAATAAATACGGGCCTAATTGTGACAGTTTTACCCTCCCACTAAAGATTAGTAACAACATGACTAATGGGTCGTCAATAAACGTCACATTACTGAAGGGGGTGTGTTTCAACTTAAGTGACAGTTTGTGACGGGGGGGGGGGGGGGGGCTGATTCAGATAATTGGGACGACCCACTTTTACATTTAATTTTGTTTTGAAAACTTGGCCTTAATTTTGCGTTTTTAAAAAGGCCTTTTGAAATTTCAAACAGAAATTTATCATTTTACTCAATCTTGAGTTAAGTAGGGCCTAAATATTTTATTTTAAAAAAAAACAATGTTTTGAAAAAAAAAATTAAGGGGGGGGGCTTGTTGGCGGAGGAGTGACGTCGATAGTGGGAAGGGAGGTCGTCTGGCTTTTTGTGACTATGGGGAAGGGGGGGGGGGTGTAAAATAATTTTAAAATGCACAACGTCCAATGTCCCCTAATGTAGACAAGAAACTTTACAAACAATGTAATGTTTAGTAAAGCATGACTAACGTCATTAGGGTTGCCAGATACCTTTTCCGAAAATACTGGACACCTTTCCATCCTTCCCTTCTCAGGTATGCCGCAAAGAAGAAGAAGGGGGGGGGGTAACAGAGTATTATTCATATACTTGTCCAGTATATTTATTTTATCCTGGACAGTCTGCTCAAATACTGGACTGTCCAGTTCAAAACTGGACACCTGGCAACCCTAAACATCATTGTGACCGAGTGTTTTACACTTACCCTAAAGATTGGTAAAGTTAGAATAATTGTTATACACAATGATCACAAAGCCATTTAGCAATATCCACATTTTTTAGGTTTCTGCATAAAATCGTATCAAGCGGGCACTTATTACTAATAGTATTTTTACGTTATGACTTTATGACTACTAGTTTAATCGTTAACTATTAAACATGAAAAGGACTAAGTAAAATATCCCTTGTAATATGATTTGAATTTACCTCAAATTGAAAATGTAAATTCCAAAGCTCTTAACAAGCTGTGTCCAGCCTTTAAGTTAAATGTGTTCACCAACTCACACACTACACACTCGCCAGTGTGTCATGAGTGTGTCGTAGTTACCCAATCGGACCAGCAAGGCGGAAACTTTCTAACTCACAACATTGGGGTTATTTACTGGGTCCTATCTTAAACAGGTGTTTATCTACTATATTTATTGAACTCTACTTCATCTGCCCCATGTGTCTTGAGCACCAACGGGAAAAGATGATGTAACATGAAAATATCGGTTTACCCCCCCCCCCCCCACCTTACCTATATATAGATCTGCCATTTCCAAAACCACCCCTCACATTATGTAACATTTCTATGGGCCAAACTAAACCTCAGAAGAATCACACCCCATAACTCTCAAAATTTACGAAAAGGGAAACTACTCTTTGAACACTTTTAACTTACCTCTTAGTTTGTGTATTCGTATAATCAAATTTACATTGCATAGTAAAACACGAAGTTTTCACTGGTTTAAAAAGTTGCCACAAAATACGATTAACCCTGCGTTATACGGATAACAAGCCACTAGAAATCAATAATAGACAAGTTTTTAAAAACATTGATTTACAATAAAGAAGGTTAGAATTCTGTAATTTGTTTTTGCTATTGCAGGTATTAACTTTGGGTTGCTCCCCTTCGTCCTAAATATTAAAGCCTATAATTTAATAAAATAAAGAAAACAACTTTTCTACACTTATTTCAGCACCCCCCCCCCCCCCCCCGTAAAAGTATGTATTCAATAATTATTGTATTTATCTTTTTCATTTTATTTCTACTCTTGTTTATCAGCTGCCATGGGACGGCGTGGTTGAATAGTAGAGCATTCATCTGATAACTCAAAAGTCTAGAGTTTGGGTCCATGGCTGGAGTTGTAGCACGTAGATTCCACCCAACTCTGATGGGTACCCGACTCACTTTAGTGCAAGTAGAGACGGCTGTGCATGCTGCAGACCAAACTACCCTTTTATATGTCGAAGTCACAGAAACATGTGAACTCTACTTTACCTACATCATGGACATCAGGTCAGAAAGGTTTTATCAGCTGCCACTAATGAAACAATTTGAATGATAACCCTATTGGGTGGCAGGATGTCAGAGAATAAGTTTTTAAACAAACAAATATAGCTGCACCAGCTAACATTTGTTTTGGTTTCTTTAAAGCCACACTACAGCACTTGAGTAGAACACAACACAAAACCAGCATTGCAAGTGATTTTAATTCCATACAATGGTTATTGAATAACAATATTCCTACAGTCTTGATGGAGGAAGAAATATTTATTTCTGTCAAACAAACTCACCAACAGCATCACATATGCACAATCAGTCCGCTCACTCAATCAACCCATTCATTCTAGAAACAGTTTAACCTTTTACTATCCTGCTATAGTGATCAACTGTTTAATAATAGGCCCAGGGTACCGCCCACCACATGAGAACCATTTAACATGAGGTGTGTGGTGTGGGGGGGGGGGGGGGGGGGCAGTCATCAACTTACAGCATTCACACTAACATACAAGCAGAAATACAACATTATCACTCGTTGGCAGTTAAACATTGACTATATGGGGGAAAAGATCTTTACAATAATAATGCATTATCTTGAAACCTCTTGATGAAGGTTAATACTATCCTATGGCTTTGCGTCAACTATATTACAAAAATGGAATTAATTCCCAAAACTTCACTGGCTGATAATAACGATGAAAAAAAAAAAATTGGAAATCTTTGAAAAAAAATTTAAACCTACCTAGTCTCAAATTAATTTTTCTAATTAGTTCTCATGTTATTTAGCTAGTAATCATGTTCCAAGACCTCAGAGAAAACTTTCATATTGTTATGCTCTGACTTTCAAGCAAGCCATGCTTCACTTCCAGTAGTAAAATAATATTTTGTTTATGTATACAGAGCTAAGAACACAGTCACAGAGCGATCTCTCACATTCACTCAACTCATGATCTAAAACTTTGAATGTTCTTTTCTAATCATATCCAGGACGCTACTGTGGATCCGTGGTCTTCTGTATGCTCTCATCCACATGTAGAAAGTTAGGATGCTAAGGGCATACCTGTATACCAGAGGCAAGATTTTGTCAATGTTTTGTGTGTACATAGGGGGTGTGGATGTAACATGCAGACCAGAGGCAAGATTTTGTCAATGTTTTGTGTGTACATGGGGAGGGGGTGTGGATGTAACATGCAGACCAGAGGAAAGGTTTTGTCAATGTTTTGTGTGTACATGGGGAGGGGGTGTGGATGTAACATGCAGACCAGAGGAAAGATTTTGTCAACGTTTTGTGTGTACATGGGGAGGGGGTGTGGATGTAACAAGCAGACCAGAGGCAAGATTTTGTCAATGTTTTGTGTGTACATGGGGAGGGGGTGTGGATGTAACATGCAGAACAGAGGCAAGATTTTGTCAATGTTTTGTGTGTACATGGGGAGGGGGTGTGGATGTAACATGCAGACCAGAGGAAAGATTTTGTCAATGTTTTGTGTGTACATGGGGAGGGGGTGTGGATGTAACATGCAGACCAGAGGAAAGATTTTGTCAATGTTTTGTGTGTACATGGGGAGGGGGTGTGGATGTAACAAGCAGACCAGAGGCAAGATTTTGTCAATGTTTTGTGTGTACATGGGGAGGGGGTGTGGATGTAACATGCAGACCAGAGGCAAGATTTTGTCAATGTTTTGTGTGTACATGGGGAGGGGGTGTGGATGTAACAAGCAGACCAGAGGCAAGATTTTGTCAATGTTTTGTGTGGGTAGGGTGTGTGTGTGTGTGTGGATGTAACCTGCATACCAGAGGAAAAATTGTGTCAATGTTTTGTGTGTGTATATGTGGGTAGGGTGTGTGTGTGTGTGTGGATGTAACCTGCATACCAGAGGAAAAATTGTGTCAATGTTTTGTGTGTGTATATGTGGGTAGGGTGTGTGTGTGTGTGGATGTAACCTGCATACCAGAGGAAAAATTTTGTCAATGTTTTGTGTGTGTATGTGTGGGTAGGGTGTGTGTGTGTGGATGCAACCTGCATACCAGAGTAAAAATTTTGTCAATGTTTTGTGTGTGTATGTGTGGGGAGGGTGTGTGTGGATGCAACCTGCATACGAGAGTAAAAATTTTGGCAATGTTGTGTGTGCTGGGGTGTGTGGGTGTGGGGGAGGTGTAGCTTGCAAACCAGAGATAAGACTCACTGTCTTACATCTCAGGGCTGTAAGATGTAGGCAAAGCTCCTTAAGTCTAAACCAACAATAATACTGGGGAAGATAACAAGAGGATAGCAGCAGCCTACCATGTTATGATGTAGCTCATGTGTTCATTGCGCACCTCCACTGTTGTTTGTCCACCTGTAGGGCCTCCTGGCACTGTTGAATCTGGAACCAAAGATTCACATCAAATTTTAAAATCTGGGACCAAAGATTCACATCAAATTTTAAAATCTGGGACCAAAGATTTACATCAAATTTTAAAATCTGGAAACACAGATTCACATCAAATTTTAAAATCTGGAGCCAAAGATTCACATCAAACTTTAAAATCTGGAGCCAAAGATTCACATCAAATTTTAAAATCTGGAACCAAAGATTCACATCAAATTTTAAAATCTGGGACCAAAGATTCACATCAAATTTTAAAATCTGGGACCAAAGATTCACATCAAATTTCATTTTTTTTTATGTCAGGGCTCATATGATTATGCAGGTCTTCATAAGGCTAAAGACAAGAGGCATGCCAAAGAAAACCTGCAGGCTTGTCTTGGAGGTCGACACACTAGGTAGTTTTAAAAAAAACCTGCTCAGAATCTATTGGCCTGGATGGCCATCTCCATGTGAGACAGTAGTTTAAATACTACACAATATGTTTTTTAGAGTTGAGAAAATGTTCAGTAACATTTTTTCAGAAAGTAGAAAGAACAATGCTAACTATGATTTGTTCAGAAAATGGATGACCAATGTAAACTATAAATCTATCAGGACAATAGACCTATGTAAACTTTAATTAGTTCAGAAAACAGATGACCAATTTAAAATATAACTATCTGAAAGTAGTTAGCAGACCAATACAAGCTTTAACTCTAGCACTTACTAAAATCTGCATCAATAAAAACTTTGGCAGTCCCAGCTATCTCCGCCATTTCATCAATGTTTCTGGACAGCCAGAATCCATCTTTGAGAGGGTCTGAGTCTAAGATGGATTTCTGTCAGGAAAACAAGTTCATACTTAAAAACCAAACAGCTAGTCTTTAGATATTCTATTCACCTCTTATCTCAATAGCTGAGTAGCCCCTACATTACAGGATAATCAGTGCAGAAGATCAAACTTAAATTAATGATGGGTTAAATTGATGTATACACAACACTATTTTATACACTAAAACAAATAATGCACGATCGATAAAGAAAATCTTACTTTATCATTTTTTCTAATCACACCTGTAATCTCCACCTCATCTTCTATCTGCAAACAACATGTGGCTTCATAATTTTATTAACATTCATTTATTTTTCATGTAGAATAATCCTTGTAAAACTACTGCCAACCAAGTAACAAAAATGCTGACTATTAAATCTTTTCATAATTTTTATACAGTATTTATGTGTTAACCTATTAAAAATCCTGTTCTTCTTCTTTCTTCTTCTTTGTTCTTAATTATTAGTGTTGAAGGGGATCGAGATTTATCTGCCAGTGGGTTTGAACTCGAGACTTTGTTCGAATTTATCAACCATGAGCTTTTTGCCAACTCGACCACGCCTCCAACACAATTAAGCGTTACGTGTCAACTGGTTATGCGCCATTGAGGCCATTGACTCCGATTTCAGCCTGCTTTTCTTTTTGGATTTGCTTCCATAGCCTTTGTCCAACCAAGAACAAACTACAAGGCAGCAGTTGTTTAATTTTGGAGTTGTCTCTCCTAGAAGAGTGACTGTCCTATTAAAATCATCAAAACTACAAGGTGAACAAAGACAAAATAAAATGGGATTATTTTTCTACCTGTCCCTCCATTCTGAGCTGTGGTGGTCTTTTCTTGAAGGTAACATGGCCACGATTGACCAGAATTGTTTCACTAGAACATTAGAAAAAAAAACAAAAAACAAAAACTAAGCACTTAAATGTATTTAAAAATATATTTCAGTATTGGGCAGATTGTAAAAATACATTTGTTATGAAGCACTTTTTTTAAAATGGCGTAGATATTATAAAACATTTTAAAAAAATAAATTGAGTTTATTATAAACTATTTAAAAAAGAGCACTATTTTCTATTGCCTATACAAAAACAAAGTTTTTAGTACTACTACTTTAACTTAGGTTTTTCACTAGCACAAATTTAACATTTTTATTGTCAGCCTTGAACGGAATTACTTATATGAAGATATAAAACTTATCCAAGAAATAACTGCTTGTAGAAAGAAAAATGTTCTCATTTTAGAATGACTTCTTTTTTTTAAAATTTAAATATTATTGATAGAATGAAACCTTAGCTTAACTATACAACATTGTATGAAGGTTTATTATTTTTTTAAAATTGATTATTTAGTACTTTGTTTCTTCATAGAAATCTGGCAAACGCCTTGCACCAAGCTGATAATATCTCAATTTTTTTTAGATCACTGCTTAAAACTTCAATATTAGCTACCACAATGAGAAGGAAAGAAAAGAACTTACTCTCTTGTCTAAAACAAAGAACTTAATCACTTGTCTAAAACAAAGAACTTACTCTCTTGTCTAAAACAAAGAACTTACTCTCATGCCTAAAAGAAAGAACTTACTCTCTTATCTAAAACAAAGAACTTACTCTCTTGTCTAAAAGAAAGAACTTACTCTCTGTCTGATAACTTGAAGGGTGTGACCACATGAACCCCAATTTTTGCTGCTCTCTCCTGCCCACCCATTGTTTCTACAGAGTGGTAATCTGACCTTGGTCCAATGAAAAGCTCCCTTGAATGGTCAAACCTGCCTCGGATGGTTACCTTAGTGTATTCCATATCCTCTAAATTCTCTAGACTAAATAAAGATAAAAACTTAAATATTTCTGTATATCTAAATAGTCAAAGATCTAGTACTGAGTACTGCTGAACATGAAATTTAAGTCTGGGTAAGTACATTTTTAACTATGATCTTCATATACAGAGGTAAAGATAAATAAATCAGCCCTTGTTCATCTGTTGTATAAATGTCATATCTGAAAGGGGACTTAAAATTTGAAAAATTATTATGCATTTTATTAAAACTGAATGTAGTTTAGTTCTAATTAACTACAATGCTACATAAAATACAATCCAGGTTTAAGTATCTGTAATGGTGAGCTTGTTTTTACAATGTTCAATGTTTGTATTTTAGTGCAATGTTACGATCAACCTTCTATTCAACTCTAAACACGATTCAAGGCACTGTTCAAATCTTTATTTAAACTGTCATCTTCATCAATACACCACAAACCCTCAACCCTAGCCGCTACCAACAAGCCCTAGATCCTAGCCGCTACCAAAGAACCCCTTACAATTGTTCACTCTAGCTTTTATACGCACTCAATTTCGGATAACAATACCTAAACATCCCAGGGTTACCTCAACTCACACATGCCTCTCCCCTATGTTCTAGACTATTCTAACCAAACCTACAACAGAAACGTAACATGTAATGTGCGACAATGAGATGCAGGCAAGCCTACTGAACTTAAACATTTATTGGTTTCTTAATTTACAAGATGACATACTTTTGAGGGAGAGGAATTGGCGGGGCACTCATCTTTTCTTCCAACTCTTTAATGAGACCAAGTTTCCATTCTCTACGAAATATCTGCCAAGTTCCCAGGCCAAAGGCAGTTAGTGGAATTATCTGTAATAGCAATTTATACAATTTAAATATATATTCATTAAATTCAGTCCAAAAAAGTTAGGGAATTGAAATCTCCTGTATGATTTCTTTTACTAATTCAAACTGGTTTATAGCATTGAGAGCTGATTGGACATACCCTTCAGTATAAATATGATAACTATGGTATCAAGGCTACACTAAAATGGATTTTTAACTAGTAAGTTACCAGATGAATGAAATTTCTAATGATAAAAGACTTTCAGCATTCATTTGCTTCATAACTAGGTCAAATATTCATTTCTCACAAAAAATTGATAAGCAAATGAATCATTAATAGGCTTAAAAATAGATAAATAGCTTATTGTTTTTATTATTAAAAAATGTTTCATACGCCTACATTTTAAATGGTTATTTAACACATTTACTTTATTATTCAAAAGTTAAATGCAAATGTCAGTTGATCACTAATAGAAAACAATGAAAGTTAAAAATAAAAGCAGTGTTTTGAAAATACAGTTTTACTCAATTCTTAATAGTAATGAAAGTTGATATAAAGCTAAATTTGAAAATACAGCTAAAAGTTTTTTATATTACCAACAAAGGAATACCTCCACCAGTGCTTTGTTTAACAGCAGGTTTTAATCGTGGTATCTGCCTTGGCCCTTTAATTTGTGAATTTAATCTGATTCCAACCTACAAATGCAAAACAAAATAAAACAGGTGAGATGTGAGTAATCTAGGATACTGACTTTAATAATTGCTTAAAAAATTTAGGCCCTTAATGTGTATGGACACCCAGTTTTCAGCTATGGGATGACATTATTATAAAACAATTACTCAATTAGGCCCCTAGATCTATCACGTGGTAGGCCCTAAAGCATATAAATTAATAATAATTTGAAATTAAATTATTCATATTAAAATAGTATTTAAAATTAAACACTCAAAAGTTCACTGACTAAACCTAAAAAATAAATTAAAAATTACATAACAAAATAATGAAAATATTTATAGACTTTGTAATGTGTGGAGCAGGCCTATTTTTTTTATCCATAACATTAACTAGATCTAGATCTAGTTACCTTGAGAATTTGTAGTTTGCTATTTAATCTCGAAATAAAAATTACATGTATTTTTGCTAAAAATGACATTTTGATTTTTTTATCAATATTCTGCTACGTTTGTTTACAGAAATTGGCCCTAAAATACGTCCTTCCAAAAACGAAATTTATTTTAGAGTAGAGTCCCTTTAATACTGATGGATGTTAAACCCGTTTTCATTGGATATGGGTTTCAGTGTAACCAATGAACTTTCAGTTTTTACATTGCTAAGGAATTGTTTTAAGATGGCGGAAGGTGTGCAGAAACGGCTTCAAAATGAATTGGACAAATTCCAAAGTGTCCAAAAAGGTGAAAAAAATATAGCAATTTCAACTATTAGATGAATAATTATTTTATCGAACACCTGTATGATTTACTTTGGTTATAAGCAATGAATATAAAAATAGTCAAAATAGTAGTAGGCCCTACTTGATGTCTTAGGACCAACACAAAAATAAGAAAAAAAACAACTAAAATCCACGTGAGGAATGTTGTGTGACCAGTCCTGAATACTAGCTTTTCTTACTAAATCTAGAATTTACCCAAATTTCAAATTAAACATGACTACTGAATGATAGACATCGATATTTAATCCATTAGGGACTAATTTTGAAGTTTTTAGTTCGTTTTAAACTAAATTACTTAATTTAATATTTATTGACATTTGACACTCACTGCCATGGACAACACATCTCTCCATGACAACTCTTCTTACCCCTGAAGGCACTTGAAGCTAAAGAAAACCACAAATGCGGTTAGACTTTTTAAGTGGCCATGTACCCAGAGTTCCCCACTAGTGATCATCAAATAGCGGTCACAGTTACAGTAGATCTACACAGTCCTGCAAATATTGAATAATAGATCTAGACTCTAGTCTCCAAGGTTCAATTAAATATTTTTAAAGCCATTCCCCATCCATGCCCAAGGCATGGAGCAAGGGACATTTAGGAGGTAATCTATCGTATTTTACTCTATTTAGTAGCGAGGCTCACTAACTTGAAAGCGTCCTTGGTTGCTAACCAAAACATGGCGTTAGGATCGGACCATGACTTCCGGCGAGTTTTTCGACTTAGTTCCAGAGACCTCCTTGGAATTACTTTTAAAAATGTTTACCACGAGCAAAATGGCAGGTTTTCACGTTATAAAAACATGCTATAGGTGGCAAGTCGAAATATGCCAGAAAAGCATTTTTAAAAATTGCTTTGGAGAATGTAGGCTAAATTTAAAGTCGGTGTCATTCAAAATAATATAACTTTTTAAATATAGATCTCCATATCACAAAATTGATTTCCATAGTAAAGCATTATTAGTTTTATCATTCTATGAAAAAATAAATCAAATATCTTCAACCCTTTTTTTTATAAGAGTGGCCAAAAAATGACAACCAATTATTTTTAATTTTTTTGACCACGTGACCGCTATTTGAATGGATACGTTTACCTGGCATGGTTTTTTATTTTGCTCTTTTGTACAATAAAAAATGTTATAAAATTAAAGAAATAAAAGAATTCAAAAATCACTTCTGTCTTGTCTTTTTTAAAATTCTTTTCTGATGTCTTTCTCTTAAATTTTTTTCCTCTAAAAATATTACCCGACGATAGACGGGCCAATTCTACTTTTAGGAACTCTCTTGTAAAAAAAAATTAGATCTATTTCACGGTCACTTAAAAAGTTAAACCTTTCAACTTTTAACCAGGTTGTCATGGATGATCCGTCATATAGCTGTGAGTGACAAAAAATTTTAAAATTCAATAATTTAGTCTAAACTCGCTACAACCCCCAAAATTAGTGCCTAGAGGATAAAGTATGGACGTTTTTTATTCAGTTGTCATGTTTAAATTGAGAATTGAGTAGATTTCACATATAGTAAGAAAAACTACTATTTAGGTAAGTAAAATCGCCCGCGTCTAGTAATGAACGAAAAAGTTACCTCAAGGCTTTAATAGAAGTATATTGTGAAATATTTCTGTCAAATATCGTAGATAAATGAATTACAAACCTAAATCAATGGCTAAATTTATCAATATAGGCCAGAAATTAACTTTAAACAGCAGTGTGTGTGAGCAAGATTTTATAAACAGCAGCCATTTGAAAAAAATAGGGTGGCTTCCCCTGAATCTCGCACTATAAGTTTACAAAAAAAAACCAACTGAAACAAGATGGCTGATATAGTAAATGAGAATGGTTGCATCTGTTGGAAACATCGCTAGTCTTCATTTATTACTGAAAAAGTTTTAATTCAATTGTTTAAAAACAGGTAGGCCTACATAAATGAAACAAAGAAACATTTTTGTATTTTTCAAAACATAAATCCTCTTCAAAATGTGAAATTATTATTAAAATTTAAGGAGTCACCTGTTTTTCACATTACTAGTCGCTGGCGATTTTACGTACCTAAAACAATAGATAACCGTTTAGTACTGTGATGTTTCAATGACTGGCATTTGAAGTAGAATGTCTCATAAAACTTTTTAATCAACAAATTTATAAATTTCTCCTAGATATAGATCTACTCCATGCAAAATTACATGCAACCAAGCTACAACCGAGCTAACTAACTAATAATCCAACTATGTAATAACTAACATAACAGATACTGTTCCAAAGATAGAACATAAAAAAATTGGGCTAAAAAAATTAAAACTGCTAATCAGCTGAAAGACCTAGATATTTGTGAATGACATTAACCTCCTCTCAACTGGACTATAGCATGCCCAGTCCAAATTAAGCAAACTCAATGAAAAAGCACTTAAGTTAAGACAGGCTTAAAGATGAACTGGAAAAAAGTCAGAGATTATTAGAATTAACAAACAGGAGCTCCCACTTGGGACACAAAAATTGACTATTTCTGTGGTGGATCGCTTCACATATCTAGGAAATGTAGTAAATAAGGATGAGGGAGCAGATAAGGACATCTAAAGCAGCACCACCAGAAAGGCCAAGTATGTGTTCAACACCCTCCACACAACCTGGACGTTTAGGACACTGTCTATGCTTTCCAAAATACAACAGCAACGTGAAATCTCTTCTCTATGGTTCTGAGATGTGGAAAAAAAACTTGGCAATACTGTATTGGCACAGAAATCCATAAGCGCAAATGGGAATGGATTGGACACCAACTAATAACATCACCAGACAAGCACTAGATTATAAATGCCAAGAAAAGAGGAAAGGAGGTAGGCCAAAAAAAAGGTCAGCTGTAGGAGAAGCAAAAGCAGCCGCATTGTCGAGGACCCAACTTCTAGGAATCACCAAGAACAGAGTACAATTTAGAGGTGTGGTTGTGTCACTATTGTCCACAAGGGGTCCACAGGAATGATAATGACAAATTGCCTTCTAAAAAGGAATATATTTTGTCTGACATTATTAATCTTTTTTAAAAGGATAATGCAACTAAAAGTGAATATTTTGGCATTAAGTATAGTGTTAGGGAATTATTAAGTTTTTTTCTGGACTCTCGCATATAATTATATTTTAATCTAAGATTTCTTCTAATTAATAAGTTAATGAAACAGGTTTGAATACATGTTAAGACACTCAACAAAATCAATGTTCATCAATGTAAATCAATTTTCAGCTCTATTAGATCGGAGTTATGAAACTAATTCTAACAAAACAAAACCTTCCCATTTTAGAGCAAGACTGTCCATCCTAAAACAACCCCTTCCCATCATTAATATAGTCCCATTTTTTTTTATAACTGCATGCTGAATGTTTCAACAGCCCCCCGGCAGATCATTATGGTTTACATGTAGCCTACACTTCCTATTTGACTAGTTAAGATTTGATGTGGGCATAGTTTACTCAGAATATTGTAAGAACTGGTAGTTAATACAGGGAGGCTAATTAAGCTGTAACATTAACATGAAGTTATATAGAGACCTACCAGCATTATAAAACACATGACATTCAAATATTTTTTGTCACATTGTTTTATTAAATGCTTAGATAGGTTCTGTTCAGATGCATGTCATTTCCCATCTGCTAGCCAATGACTATGTCAGACATAATACTGGTGCTTCAAAGTTCAAAGGACATAATCCCCCATCTTTCAACAGGTTAACATTAAAAATAGTTTGAGTAGAACAGGTGTTGACCATGTCAGCTCCTGACATGAGAGATTAAAACCACTCATGTTCATTTGAGACAGTCTAATAACTGACTCAGGGAATATATTGTGTTTACCAATTTCATTGTAACTTGCAGGTTCAGTAAAAGACCATTCAAACTATGCATTGCCTGGAGTGGCATGGTCAGATTGTATAGTTCACCTCTGCTAATTCTTTAGTTTGGACCCCAGGCTTGAGTCTGTAGGAAGTCACTTCTTCTTTCTTCTTCTTCGTTCTTAATTATGAGTGTTGAAGGGGATCGAGATTTATCTGCCAGTGGGTTTGATGTCGAGACTTTGTTCGACTTTATCAACCATGAGCTTTTTGCCGACTTGACCACGCCTCCTACACAATTAAGCATTACGTGTCAACTGGTTATGCGCCATTGAGGCCATTGACTCCGATTTCAGCCTGCTTTTCTTTTTGGATTTGCTTCCATAGCCTTTGTCCAACCAAGAACAAACTACAAGGCAGCAGTTGTTTGATTTTGGAGTTGTCTCTCCTAGAAGAGTGGCTGTCCCCAGCTAACGAGCCTCATCTGCCCGAGTAGGAAGTCACTGAGTCCACCCAGCTATGATGGGTACCTGACCCAACCGGCAGTGTATAGTGCTTGCCACACTATCCTTTTGTACACTGAGATTATTGAAACTTAGAACTCTACTTCATCTGCAGCAAACCTTGAGCATGAATGAGAAAAGATATTTTGTGATGGTAGCAGTATCAATATTAATAAGGCTATTAATAACTCCATGGTTGTTTACTTTTGTAAATTGATCTTGTTCATTGGTTCTATCACTCAGATGTGGCAAAACACATTGGTTTGCGTCAACAGCTTGAAGGACAGCTGAATGAAAATACTCTAGTCAAAGAGGTGAGAATAACTTTCAGATCTACTGTATTTTGGAATAAGAATTTCTTTTATGGTTGCCTGAATATTTTCTTATGTAACAAGACATTTCCTCCCTCCCCACCCCCCTATTTATATGTAATTGCCCCAAAATTTTATAGGGGTTGCTCATTTTGGGTTAGTCAGGGTTCCAGTCAGCCTGTTTCACTCTTCAGGCATCCTAGAAAATACTCAGGCTCTTCATGCTGGGTTTCCTGGGTTTCTCTCTTGGCCCCTATCATATAAATGTAATTTTTTTTATAGCTTTGCATGATTTTTCCCTCCCCGTACCTCATAAAATCAGGTGAAACAAAATGTATAATTATGTTATGAACTAACTTATGTAAGCATTGCTATTTTATAAAATAAGGGATAAAAGAAAGTAGCTGTAGAAATGTAATCTTAAACCTATGGCCATCCTCAGGAGCTTGACAGGTTGGAAGATGGAGCTGGTGTGTACAAGATGGTTGGACCTGCTTTAATCAAACAAGATCTCACAGAAGCCAAGCAGAATGTCCAGAAACGTATTGACTACATCAACAGTGAACTGTAAGTCTCTTACAACTTTCCTCTCTTGGTCTCATGTTAGTTTCCACTTGTAATTTTAATTACTATTTGCATGTTAGAGTCTGAATTGTATCATTTTTTTGTACCTTGAATAAACTTGCTGTACTTGCGTCCTCAGGAAACGGCATGAGAACCTTATCAAAGATTTGGAGAAGAAATCTGATGCCCACAGAGAGACTTTGAACAAACTCCAGCACCAGTTCCAGCAGGCTCAAGTGAAGGCAGCTGTCAAGTCATAGTTGCTCAAGTTTTTGTTAGATGTTTTAACATTTTCTGCAGTGGCTCAGCAAGAGCAAAGACCATTGACAATCTTTTGTTAGGCTTTTTTTTTATTTTGATACATTGTATCAAGTGGCAGACAAGAAGAAAACACAAATTGTTTATTTCAGTAAAAAATGATTGATTTTACTAATTAATTTTTGGCTATGTAATATGACCAGTGATGTGGTTAAAATTCTGACAAAGAATTGGGTTAAAATTTTTAATTGCTTGTTTTAAAAATGTTTTTTCCTCCTATCAGCGGTGTGCTAGTTAAATGTGTGTGTGCTGATATCTTAAGTGTTTGTATACAGAACAAAATGGGTGCCTGATGTACGTATCAAACCATAGCTTGAAGTTTTTTTAAGAATAAATGGGACATTATTTTGCATTCACTGTTTGTTTATTGGATCTTTTTGTGTTGTCAAGTTTTGTTTGTTGTCATATATTACCTTCAGTATGCGCATATCTTGAGTTTTGAAGTCAGCTGAGCTTTTCATTCTGGGACTGTTATTGGAAAGGTTGAAAGTCTCAAGTCTAAAAGATGTTCCTGAGTCCACCAAATCTAATGGGCATCTGACTTGCATTAGTGAAAGTAAAGGCTGCTGGGCATAACGCTGACCACACTATCCCTTCATATGCTGAGGTCACAGAAACAGAACTCTACTCCATGCAGGGGCGTAGCGAGGGGGCGGGGGGTGCGGACCGCACCGGGTGACACCATTTAGGGGGGTGACACCAAGGCAAAAAATAGCAAAATATATAGAGAAAAACTCGAGGGGGGGGGTGCAAATCGAAAGTTTGAGGGGGGGGGGGGTGCAAATCGAAAGTTTGAGGGGGGGGGGGGTGCAAATCGAAAACTCGAGGGGGGGGGGGTGCAAATCGAAAGTTTGAGGGGAGGGGTGCAAATCGAAAACTTGAAAGTTTGTCCCTGGGAAGGGTCTCTATGCCTCTGGGGGGTGACACCATTAAGTGCCGCACCGGGTGACACCCGACCTCGCTACGCCACTGACTCCATGTGCTAGACTTAATAAGGAAACTTATTTTTTGAGCCTGCTGTTAGTACACCATTGCATAATTACATAACTTTAAATGCAGTTTATGCACACATAGTAAGGCCAGTATTGTGGATCATGCAATGTTAATTTAACTACAAGGGTTAGAATATATTTTTAACATCACTCCGCAATATTTTCCAATAAGTCACTTTAGTATCATCTCCGTACAACTAAACTCACCACAGCTATAAGATACTTATTTCATTCCTGAATGTCCATAAGTATAAGACTTTATATTCCTGAACATCAGTTTCTTGGAAAATGACGGACTCAGAAGCTACCTACTATAATAAAATTGTGTGACTTTTACTGGGATATAAGTGGCGTGGAGTTTCAGCTTTCTCCTTCAGATCCTACTTTTTTAAATGTACGTGGAACTAGTCATTAGTGGAATAGTATTTTCGGAATGAAAATTCACCTTGTTGAAGCGTGCCCATATGCAATTATGCTTTCTACTGCCTGTAAAAACTGGGTCTTACATTGCCGTAGTTTCTTAGCAAATGTGCATCAGTACTTGTCGGAATAGTGCAAGATTGAGTAGAGGTAGCTGCAACCAGTTGCATCCGGACTTGCCTTGCTTTAGTAAACTTTAGTTAGTTAGATGTTTGTAGGCCCTATATATTTTTACTTTTTAGCGAGCAGAGTTTCTTCCAGGCATCTCTTCGAGGGGTGGGGAAGCTCCCCCCCCCCCCCCCCCCGAAAGATTAAACCAGATCAAACTTAGCAACGCGCTGAAACTATGGAATGTTTATTTCCGAAGCGAAACGACGAATTGCTAACTAGCTTCCGCCGCTGAATGCCAATGTTAAAATTGAGGTAAACAAGTAATTAAAAAAAGTCTAGTGACAATTTTAGCGCAATTTCCTTGTGTTATCTAAAAATAGCTCTGTCGTAGCGTAAATCAAGAGCAGGGCTAGTAAAACCATTGGTTAGTTATTAAAACGTTTTTTATTAAAAAAAATTTCAGTCTTTACATGTTTTATTTGCAATAGAGTAACATGACTAAAAACCATTGCGCGCCCAGCTACCGAACGTGACGTCGCAGCCATTGAACGTGATCGCGCAGCTATTGAACGTGATGACGCATGTGGTGTGGTTGCATAAAATGCCTACTAATTCGGTCCAAATTTTAATTAATTCAAAAATTTTTTTGTGACCGAACGAAATGATATTTTTGAAAACTTTCTTCGGCAATATTGTTCTAAATTATGACCGGAATCGATTGGTACATGTTTCAAGTCGCTAAGTGGTCTGGTTGCTGAGATATGGGCCAAAAACTGCATTTTTTCGAGGTTTTTTGGCTTTTCCGGGAAATCCATGAAAGAAACCCGGAATTTTTATGGCCTATGCTCATCCTCGTAACTTGCTTAACATAATCGCTTTTGGAACTAGTCATCGATATTGCTCCGTTGAGGAGGAGATACGACTTAAAGCTGCGGACACACATTCATACATTCATCCATCCATCCATCCATTCATCCATCCAGAAATGACGGGTTAATAAACGCAATTCTCCAGAATGGAAATTGCGCTAAAAAATGTGCATACCGGAAAACTCCAATGAGTAAAATAAACAACGTTATGTCAGTTATGACGTAGGAAAAAGAATTACATTAAAATACGAAAAAATTTAACGCTGCCCTTGAACGAAATGAAATTTATATAGAAAATATATACTTTTAACAGTGTTCCCCCCCCCCACCCCCCGAAGAAAGTCTACCGCCCCCCCCCCCCCCCCCAGAAAAACTGCTTCCACGAAGTCTATTGTATTTTTCTAGGTTGAAAAATGTCTATTTTTACCACAAAAGTAAGCTAATGACGCTTTACATACTACGACGAGCCCGGTTTGTCATTAATAAATAATGCTTTTAGTGTCATGACAATGTCATTTTTAGATTCAACGATGGTTATTCTGTATAGATCAAGTAAAAGTGGGAACAGAGGCGTAGCGAGGGGGGGGGGGGGGATGCGGACCGCACCGGGTGACACCATTTAGGGGGGGGGGGGATGACACCAAGGCAAAAAATTGCAAAATATATAGAGAAATGTGATAATTCCACTTAATTAATTGATTAATTCCAGTGTTAAATAGTCTTTTAAGAGGTGCGAATCGAAAGTTTGAGGGGGGGGGGGGAAGGGGAGGCAAATCGAAAGTTTGAGGGGGGGGGGGTGGAAATCGAAAATTGAAAGTTTGTCTCCGGGAAGGGTAGCTACGCCTCTGGGGGGGGGGAAAGGTGACTCCATTAAGTGCCGCACCGGGTGACACCCGACCTCGCTACGCCACTGAGTGGGAAATCGATGATTTGGTGAATTTATGAAAAAATTACTACCCGCCCATGCCCTTAATTGCTGAAACACCACTTTACCAACAACAAAAAAACCACATTCTAACAATACTAACATGACATTTAGGATCAGTTCCCGTCAATTAACAACAAAAGCTAGCGCATTAAAGAAAGAGCCTACGCTTGATAGAACAGAATATGCTAATCTTACTCTGACAATACCATATTACTGTGGGCAGCTGTACCCGATGGGCGTGACACATTTTTTCAGACCCCATGTAACACATGTTAGAGCTGTGAATGTCAGGTGGTAGTGTGCCCAGTAATCTACAAAGAAATTTGGCTGGCTTCTAGTCTGCATGTGGTCATTATTCAATGATAGCTCTTTAGGTCATTACACGTGATATTTACAAGTAAGTATTCTAAAATTGTGTAATTATAAAATGTCTTTGAGATAACCAAGGCATATATAAGTTACTTGCGCGGTGCTAAGGTAGTTAGATGTTAATTAATTAATATTAATCATTATGTTCTTTAATTAATTAATGATCATTTTCGTTAATTGATCAGTGATTATGTTTGTTAATTAATTAGTAATTAAGTTAACGCTTTTAAATATTGTCGTGAGTCTATACATTTTAAATACTGTTTTATCAACATCTAACTTAACGGATGGTATTTCTTCACTTTCTGGAATCTGACCTGAGCACAGTGTTTCTTCCAGACTTTTTTCTCCGGGGGGGGGGGGGGGGGGGTACTTGAAATTTTCGGGGGTGCGGTAACCTTTCTTCGGGGGGGGGGAGGGGGGCGGAAACTGTTAAACGTATATATTTTCAATATAAATTTCATTTAGTTCGGGGGGGGGGGGGCGGGTGTCGGAGCCCCCCCCCCCCCCGAAGAGATGCCTGGAAGAAACTCTGCCTGAGCAGACCTAAGCTTTAAGTTTGTCTTTAGAGAGGCAAGTGTATACTATCGTTTTTTTAATAGGTAGCCTATATGAGGGGGGGAGTGTTAGTTTGGCAAATGATATGTTTAGGAATTCTCATAAACTTTTAACTGAAGCGAATACTTTGTCGGCCCGTATTTGTATTTTGTCTTTGTAATTTCCACTAATAATACGCATTTTTTTTTTTTGCATTGAAGATAAAAAAAATGGCCAACCGCTTGGAAGAATTAAACGGACGCCGCCATTTTGATTATGTTGTTGTGGGCTGTGGTGGTATAGGAAGTGGCGCCCTCTATTGGCTGTCAAGGAGAGCTCCAAATAGTAGGTTTACTACGTGTAATGATATGTGTAGCTTACCTTCGGCATAACGTAATGACTTACTTTTGTGTAGGCCTACACCAGGGGTCTCCAAACTACGGCCCGCGGACCGTATGCGGCCCGCGATGTCCTATCATCCGGCCCGCGGAGATCTTTTTGTCCACGAAAAAAACGTTTGTTGGTGATGGCTGAGGAACTTGTCCCAGAAAAAATCAAAGATATTTCTGGAAGAAACTGGCCCCTGAACTGAAATTTGATAGTTAATGTGGCCCTTGGACTGAAAAGTTTGGAGACCCCTGACCTACACAATTCTCAATATTAGTCCAGATATTCCCTAGAGTGGTTATGGGAAACGAAAACTAAGGCTGGGGTAGCTACTGGAGGGCGGGTGGGGCGGCTGCCCCGACCCTATGGGTGCGCCAAAAGGGGCAGCAATGTGTTTTTAAATCTGAGGTATTGAATTATAAAAAGTAAAAGTTAGGAAAGTAAACGGCTACAAGGCTTTACCCACTGTTTTCTACATCAATTGTGTGGCACCACTATCTAAGCATGTAAGGGATAGTTACTGGCTGTCTACATCTATTCTTGAAGATGCGCTCGTTTCGCTTCGTATTAACAATTTCATAATTTTAAATGTGGTATAACCACAATTTACGTTCTTAAAATAAGTATACAAATGAAATCAGCTTATAAGAGATTTTCTTTCAGGCATCTTCGGGGGAGAGGGGGGGGGGGCTCCCCAACCTCTTCATCATCTTTACGAAATATAATTTATATTGCAGCCCCCCCCCCTCCCCCCGGAGAAAAAAAATCTAAATAATGATGGGAAAAGTATATGTGGGGGGGGGGGGGGGAGGCGGAATAACTGGACTTTTCATCCATAGTTGTCACGTACAATATCATTGCAGACATTGTATAGGTCAGGGGTCGGCAACCTGCGGCTCGCGAGCCGCATGCGGCTCTTTTGATATCAAGATGCGGCTCTCCAGCTCCTTGAACAAATACTAATAATCTTAATAAAAATATAAGATATTTGAAATTAAAAGAAATGTTAGTGGCTCTTTAAAACCAGGGAAATTTTGAAAATTGTAACTTTTGGCTCTTCCGCTTCAAAAGGTTGCCGACCCCTGGTATAGGTAGATTTTTAGACGTCTTCAGCTAAATGTAGAACCATCATTTTTCGAACACGGGATAAGACATTGCACAGAAATTACAGGTTAGATGCATACACGATTCCATAGCAGCACAATTATCTTGCACGTCGTAGCAGTGGCGGAACTAGAAAAAATGGGCCACCCCGCAAAAATTTTTTTTGGGCCCCCCATATATGTATATATATATATATATATATATATATATATATATATATATATATATATATATATATATATATATATATATATATATATATATATATATATATATATGTATATATGTATGTATATATATATATATACATACACACACATACAAACGCAATGCGAATATAGGATACTCCTTTCTAGCCTGATCGGGTTTTGAAATAAAAATTCAATTAAATCTAATCACAACAGCATGTCATGTGTATGAGTGCATTGGTCTGTTTTGAAAATCTCTGTTTTCATTGGAAAGTAATACTTCTAATCATTATGTCGGTTAAAAGTATATGAAGCTTTGTATAAGTAATGGTGTCTCGTGTTATGTTTATTTTTATGTTATTTTTTTGTATTTATATTATTAACTTTAACTACGTTTCATTTTTATACTATACCATTCTTTAGTACTTTTTTTTTTTAAAAATAATAATTAAGATAAGTAATTGCTTTTTAATTTGATTATTAAAAACCTATTAAAAAGAGCTTTTGAGCACCCCTATTCGACTATTTGAAAAAGGGAAATAATTTATGGAAATGGTTTGAACGTTTGCCTATCTTTCACACTACAGCTGTGTTTATTATTTTTTTATTTTTTTACGCAACAGCATGTCTTAGCTACTATATAACATCACTACTGTATTAGATCTGTATTCTGTTTGTTTCTTACAAAACCACTATCAAGTTGCCAGTGACGAAACTAATATATATATATATATATATATATATATATATATATATATATATATAAATATATATATATATATATATATATATATATATATATATATATATATATATATATATATATATATATATATATATATATATATATGTTACGGTCAAAGCCCGAAGTCAGCCAATGCTAGGATTGGCCGGCCAATCCGCGCATTGGCCAATAACGCCTCCCTTAGGTCGGTCAAAGTCCGAAACTTTTCTTGATTTCGGCCTTTGGCCGGCCAGTCCGCGGACTGGCCATGGTGGACCGGCCAAAGTCTTAATTAGAAGATCATCTGGCTAGGGACGACCGGCCAAAGTCCGAATTAGAAGATCATGAGCAGATTTTGTTTTTTTTATGCCGTAAGGATCATGAAATTAAGTCTTTATTGGTTATTAATTAAAGTTAATGACAGAAACATTCAAATTTTTTATTGTACTATAGTCTCAATCTATCAATATCATCATTTGTTACAACAAGTTGAACTTTTATGGCATTTAGAATTACATAGCAGCTTGTTATTTTTACACTTGCAGCGATTTGTTGTGCACTTAGTTGTGCAATTCCAGCGAGTGTAGCCTTGGCCCCCAGTCAATGATTGTGAAGATGCGATGATGGTTCGTAGTGATTTTTCCTCAGTGCCAACTGACGACAATAAGAGCAGTTTTTCGTGAAGAATTGAAAACTCACTTCTAGCATACAGTTGTTTTAGAACACCATGTTCCGTTCCTAATTTGAAGAAACCGCCCTCGACGCTCATGACAACTGCAATCACGATTCGGGGATCACCGTGACTTCTGTCAACATCTGGAAAACGGATGCGTACATTGTCACCCACTTCACCATCTTTAAATTTTGTATTTGATGTTTTAAGCATCTTAGCACCTTGAGTTTGCAAGCCAGTATGAGCTGCTGATCTGTGTTCCATGATGTCTTGTTTGTTTTGACACAATCTGCAGGTAATGTTCCCTCCGTACCCTTCGTCTGCTTCATTGGGTATTCCACACATAGCATGGACATCGTTGCCACAGGATCCAAAAGAATGAGTTGCACTACAATGTTTTTTTACAAACTATATAGAATCTGTTGGCCACATTACTGTCACGCAACTGGTCTGGACGTTCCGCTACGGCAGTAGATGTGTTAGCTGAGGATGTCGTTGCATTTATGGCAACCTCCATTTCTTGTTCAATGTTCTCAAGATCTTCCTCAGTAACAATTTTATCGAGAGCCCATATATGGAAACTAACATGGATTTACATTTTTTTCTTTTGACAGCCATCTGCTATGTCTGTCTCATGGTCTGACGGCCCTTTTGATCCATGTCGCCTTGCATATAGAATGCTATACAAACAAGAGCTAAACAATACGTTACTCTCAATGAAAACGCACCCAGAATAATGAAAATGCGATCACAACTTAGTCTAGATAGAACATGGCCAGGACATCCCGGCCAGTGCGCGCATTGGCCGGCCAATGTACAAATTACGCTGTCAAGTTTAAGCGCTTCGGACTTTGGCCAGTACGTCCCGGCCAGTGCGCGCATTGGCCGGCCAATGTACGAAATACGATCTTAGTGCTAAGTTCTTCGGGCTTTGGCCAAGAGAGCCGGCCAATGCGCGGATTGGCCGGCCAATCCGCGCTTTGACCGTAACATATATATATATATATATATATATATATATATATATATATAATCTGTATCTAAACAGAGTAATTTAGTCTACTTCATTGCAATATATAACCATTCTGAGAGAACAAACTAGACACATTTTATTTTGTTCTGTTTGCTTTCATTTTTAACTGGTCAAAAATATATAAAGACGTAAGCTTAATTCGTGAATGGTTTCTCGCGTTATGTTTATTTTTTTCATTTTTGGCTTTTATAATATCAATTTTGAAAACTTTGATTTTTATATCTATACCATTGTTTAGTACGTCTTATTTAAATAACAATTCAGAGAATCAATTGCTTTTTTCTATACATAGTACAAAACTATGTAAATGAGATTCGTGGGCATCCCTATTTTAAAGAAGGGCAGTAAGTCATGGAAGTTGTGTGAATGTTTGCCTACCTTTCAGACTATAGCCCTTGGAGATTTTAAAATATTTTTCTTCGCAACAATCTCTGCTATAGTAGACCTGTTTTTTTTTTTTTTTTTTTTTTTTTTTTTTTTTTTTTTTTTTTTTTTTTTTTTACAAAACCACTTTTAAGATGCATGGAAAACATAATTTTTGAAAAAAAAATTCATTGTTTTTTGGTCGGAAATGGGCCCCTAAACGTCCTGGGCCCCCCCGCACTGCGGGGTCTGGCGGTATGGTAGTTCCGCCCCTGCGTCGTAGCCAAGGCACTTGTTTGATACTCAGGATAACGCCGTTTAAATAGCATAAATTCTGGAGCCCGTAGTTACACTTGCGACATGTATATTAAAGTATAAAAAAACCTTTCAACAAATTAATGTCATATGAAATTTTTTTCCCCATTGTCCATGTATACTACACTGCTTTTTTTTTCCTTGTATACGTATGGGAAGTGTAAACGTGGTGTTAGCAAATAAAGTTTAAAAAAAAAACTATTTTAAACGCTGTCCAACTATAAGGGGCTGTCTATTAAACAGATGTACTGGGACTTGAGAGGTTTCATCTTTACCATGAAAATGGCGGATCCCAAGATGTTTCAAGGATGATGTGAGTATATTCCACAACATCACAGAAGGTGTGAGTTGATGGTGTGAGTTGATGGTGTGAGTATATTCTACAACACCACATTAAGTTAGCACTGTGTTGCATGTCTCAAGATGTTTCAAGGATTACGTGAGTATTTCTACAACACCACATGATGATGTGAATATATTCTACAACACCACAGGATGGTGTGAATATATTCTACAACATCACAGGATGGTGTGAATATATTCTACAACACCATATGATGGTGTGAGTATATTCTACAATACCACATAAAGTTAGCATTGGGTTGCATGTGTGCACAAGTCTACACGTTTTATAAACAATTACAAAAAATACTCGTGTAATATTTGTTTTCCAGAAGATTGGCGTATCTGCAAGATCGGTACTTGAGGCTGACACCGGATACTTTTAAAACGTAGGTAACATTTTTAAACTACACCGGAAACTTTTAAAACTACGTAACATTTTTAAACTACACCGGTTTCTTTTAAAACTAGCTAACATTTTCAAACTGCACCGGATACTTTTAAACCTAGGTAACATTTTTAAACTACACCGGGTACTTATTAACGTCGTTAACTTTTTAAACTGTGCCTGATACTAATACTTGCATCCCAACTGTTGTGTTTTTACTGTCACATCCTTATGTTGTATCCCAGTCTAAGTATATATCTCCTCTAAACAAACACCGACTCATCAGATGGGAGACGATAGAAGAAGAGTCTGGCATGCAACTTGTCTACAAGTCTGGAGGGCTGATCATCACAGAGCGAGGGGTCAGTGACCAGATTCTGGACGAGTACGAAGACGGCTTGAAGAGACACAACATGCCGTACCAACGTTGGGATCACAAGCAACTCATGGAGCATTACCCACAGGTACAGTCGGTTACGGTCGTTAGACGGATCATCAGGTACAGTTGGGCAGGGGCGTAGCGAGGGAGAGGGGCGGGGGGTGCGGACCGCACCGGGTGACACCATTTAGGGGGGTGACACCAAGGCAAAAAATAGCAAAATATGTAGAGAAAAACTTGTGGGGGATGCAAATCGAAAGTTTGAGGAGGGGGGGGGGGGGTGCAAATCGAAAACTTGAAGGGGGGAGGGTGCAAATCGAAAACTTGAAAGTTTGTCCCCGGGAAGGGTCGCCCTGCCTCTGGGGGGTGACACCATTAAGTGCCGCACCGGATGACAGCCGACCTCGCTACGCCACTGCAGTTGGGTACGATCGTCAGACGTGCCCTCAGGTACAGTCGGGTACGGTCTTAGACGTACCCTCAGGTAAAACCGCTATGGGTATATTATAGACCATTTGACTAATCAGTTCAATTACCACAAATGAAATCAAATGCCTCATTGCAGAGGCGAAGCAACCCATTTCAATTTTGCACCCCTCCCCGCATATTTATATATTTATTAACGTTAGAGAAAAAGGACCCCCCCCCCCACCAACAGTCTCTGTTAATAGAATTTTTTCGTATCACACAGGTAATGTAGAAAATCGCAAGCAAATTTCTATTTTCTTAAGTTCAGCTGTAATGTTGCTCAAAATTAGCATTTTATTTTATTCTCTACATAATGTGGCGCCCCCTAAGGTCGGCGACCGGGGCGGCCGCCCCACCCGCCCTCCCATATCTACGCCTCTCCTCCATTGCTAGGATAGAGTCGCAATAACATTTCTAAAACACCACATGTGTTTGACTTTCGCCGCTTCTTACTTTACGGGCTGTTTTATTCAAAACAATCTAAATTTGACATTGTTTTAAGCGATGTATGAGTCCTAAACTATGTCAATATACCATCTAATGCAGAGGCGTAGCGATGGGGGGGGGGGGGGCAGGGGGGACATATGTCCCCGGGCGCCGACCTCAGGGGGCGCCAAAATGGGTTGTAAAAACAAATTAAAATGTCAATTTAGCTGAATTTTTGCAGTTTAAGGGGGGGGGGGGGGGTGCAAATCAAAAAGTTGAGGGGGTGCAAATCGAAAAGTTGAGGGGGGGAGGGGGGTAGCAAATAGAAAATTTTCTCCCGTGGGGGGCGCCAAATTGAATGTTTGTCCCCGGGCGCCGGGAAGGGTCGCTACGCCTCTGATCTAATGACAGCGATGTTTGTTTAGTTTTAAAGTTGCGTTTATCGTTCAGAGACTAACGCACTAACTTAGTAGACAGCTTGTCAATATTTTGTGAGGTTACAAATCTTTCCTTTATAGTTTACAGCCGGACCGGAAGTAGAAGCCCTATTCCAGAAGGAGGCTGGGATTGTGGACGCTGGGCTGGGCAATTCGTTACATGTCCAGTTAGCGCAGGGGCGTGGAGCCAAAGTCTTGGACAACTGCCCCGTCACCAGGATAGTGCGCAGACAAGATGGGCTCATTGAGGTGAGCCTCGTTTTGAATTTTATACTAATTTATTATCTGTACATAACAACGTTCCATTTGTTTTCTTGAAAAACTCATCTAATTTTATGTTTTTTAATTTTTTTTTCTTTTAATACTTGTCTTTTCTTATAATAGTTGCCTAGGTCAATTAGTTATGTCAAAAATAATTTCTTATATAATTTTGATAGATAAATAGGTTATTTTCAAAGCTTTATGCATGTCGTTTTTAAAGTAAGTTCCAACAGTCTTTAAAATCAGGGTACTGAAGTCTGGTAAGAAAAGTGCATGAATCTTGAGTTTCTCAGCAAACAAAGTCTCACCCTATTTTGACCGAGGTTTGCAACATTACAATAGTAAATGTGTGGTGGTAGCGGTTGACTAAAAAAAAGGGAATAAAATCTTCACGATACAGCCTGAATCTTTTCCTACAGGTGAGTACTCCACTGGCCAACTTCACGTGCAAGAAGGTCGTGGTAGCTGCTGGAGCTTGGATCAACAATATCCTAAGTCTGATCGGGTGTCACGTGCCTATAAACGTCACTGAAGCCAACGTCACCTACTTTGGGACTCCGCACGTGAAAGAATTTACAGCAGACAAGTAACAAAAATTACTGTTTAAATCACATAGTGAATTTACACCCGAGCTGAATATCCGTTAGTCTTTAGTACATTTTCCCCTGCATTCTGAGTTCTTTTTTTCAAAACAAACCATCCACTATACGTGCATACTTTCAGGTTCCCGATATTTACCTGGCACAGCAGTGGTGTAACTATAAACGCCCTGCCTGTCCATGGAATTAGCGGCACCAAAGTCGGCAGCTACACCGACGTCCCTGTGGTCACTGCCGATACTCGAACCTGGCAGCCAGATCCTGTTAGGTTACAGATGGCGATTGACTTCTGCAAGAAAAACATTCCTAAGGTATATATATATATATATATATATATATATATATATATATATATATATATATATATATATATATATATATATATATATATAAAGATTGGGGTTAAACGTGGTGATCTAAGCCCAATGTTTTCTCTACCTGTGCTAGTACTTAGGTCCAGTCATGAAACTTACGACCAGCCTGGCCGATTGGACACCTGATCGAGATTTTCTCGTGGACACCTGCGCTAAAGCGGGTTTTCCTGACGTCATCGTGTGCAGCGGATCCGGGCATGCTTACAAGTAACGACAATATTTCTGTCTATATATATATATATATATATATATATATATATATATATATATATATATATATATATATATATATATATATATATATATATATATAAAATGAGATTTACAGAGCTAAAGTGTCTCACGCTACGTTTTACAGAGTTAAAGTTTCTCCCATTACTGAGCTAAAGTGTCTCCCATTACTGAGCTAAAGTGTCTCCCATTACTGAGCTAAAGTGTCTCCCATTACTGAGCTAAAGTGTCTCCCATCATCCCCAGGTTCGCAAGCCTTCTGGGTAAAATCCTCAGCGAGATGGCAGTGGACGGGGTCACCAAGTACGACATCTCAGAGTTCCGCTGGGACAGGGAGTGTCTGACTGACCCCAACTTTAAACTGATCCCACTGCATACAGATAGAGGAAAAAGCAAATTATGATAACTCGTTTACTGTCGTTCACCCCTTGTCAAGTTAGAGTTAACCCTTTATTTACGGAATTATGTTCTGAATGAGATTTTTACTTAAACAATGTGTTACTATATTGCTTTAGGCACATTCACAGCATATATCGAAGGAAATTTCGTTTCATAAATTTTTAATGGCCCAAACAGATATTGGTACTTATAAGTACCGTCAGTAAACTAGGACATTTTTTTCAAATTTTTTTTTTTTACAAAACAGGAACAAACGATACAATTTATTAACTAATAACATGGCAATCATTATAACAATCACTTTTTGTAATTTTCACACATAAATACTTCACAAAAGTATATTTTGAGTACAATTTTTACTGGATTTTCTATCGGAACACATCTTAGACCTCAAACACAGCAAAAGTAGTCGACATGTCATGCTCCCTCAATCTTGTCTGTGGTCTTTCTGGTGTAGCAACGGTTGCCGGAATGAACATGCTTTTGCTGGAAGCTTCCAATAACTAGTACACTGAGCCGCATTAACAAACAAAAGCCTAGTCATTCAGCACGCAACTACAAGTAATACTAGTATAATTGTAGCCTACTAGAATGTTATGACAAGTCTACACTACAGTGCAAAGTTCATAAATAGAAGTGAGCTCAATGTGTTTAGGATAGCCGTAGTGGCCTACTCCTTTCTGTTTACTGATTAAAATTTACCATATAGATCAATACTATATGCAGAAGTATGGACTATTACTAGTCTACAGATATACATTACGTAAATGCTAGTTATTATATTCAAGACAGTTTAGTGCAGTAAATATAACTAACAAATTAAATCTTACAACTAGAACTAGGCTTTGGTATGCAAATGAAGTAAACTAAACCTTGTAAACGAGCCTGCAACTGATACCTTTATTCTTGTTAATTTTTTACTACTAGAAATTAACATGTAATTACAATATTTCTTAGGTAAACCATATGCTAAACTTCTTATAAATGTGTAAATATCATTTTTTGAGTACATTTCGATAATTAATTATCAAGACAATATTTATGTAACTCCACATAAAAAATCTGCCATTTTCTAAAAATCTTAAAAAAAAATGACCGTGTGCCCTGACGGTACTTATAAGTCCACTTGTAAACATCGATCTAATACAAAGACAATTTGATTAAAATTGTATAACTAGAAGTTAAATGCGTTTGCCTGACTATTGAAGTTGCCAATAAAAAATATTTGGGGTTGAAAACTTGAAAAATAAGGTAAAACAAAGGGTAATCAAGAACGTATGTGAGAAGTGTACAGAAAAATTGTGAAGCACCGCTATAGCAAGACATTGAAAATGGCGTCACACCAGTAATTTTCAAAAATTAATGATACCTCCGACTACCGGCGACTCAGGGGAGATAATACTATTAATTACTTCAATAATTTTTTTTAATTCGTATTAAATTAAAAATAATACAGGCATTTAATTAAAGTGGTACTTATAAGTACCGTCAGTAGATAAAGGGTTAATAAACTCATTAAATTACGCGTATTTTTTTCAGCAAGCTAACTTTGTTTAATACACTTAGATTTTAAAACGTATATTCATACTATACATTTTAACAACATGTTTTAAGTTATTTGCACTAAATTGTAAAAACAATACAATAAAACATACACATTCATTAATATTGTACTCTAAATAAAAACGTTTAAACCTTAAGTAAAATAGTTGACGTAGCTAGGACTTTGACAGTGATAATTGTACATTGTTTTGGGTAGTTTTCGTCTGTCTAACGCTGTTAAGTTTTATTTATTGCATGCATAATGTCTTTTAACGTGCATTTATAATAAATATACAGAAATAAAATGTGATTTTTGAAACCCCGTTATTATTATGCTTATGTCTTTGTGTTCATTTGCAACAGTAAGAGCATCTGAATTACGTGAGATATTTATTCCAATATTAAGTATTGTGTTGACATAGGCAAAGTAAGCCTACTTTTCAAATTCTTATATGACTCAGGGGCGGAACTACAGTGCCGCCAGACCCCGCAATGCGGGGGGGGGGGGGGCCCACGACGTTTAGGGGCCCAATTCCGACCATAAAAACAATGAATTTTCCTTTCATAAATAATGTTTTTCGTTTTAAAGAGCCATTTATTCTCTTAATCATTATTTAAATGAGGCATCTTAAAGAATTCTATAGCTATAAAAATTAATGTATTCAAAACTAATAATATTAATACAAAAAATCATAAAATAAACATAACGCGAGAAACCATTTTAAAATCAATCTTACGTGTTTATATAATTTTGACCAGCCAGCAATTAAGGTCATTAGTTTCGGTACGCATAAAGACGTAATACAAACACTTGTAAAACACGATTAATGCCGCGCTCGAAATGAGTTCGGACTTATTGTTGTCTGGTTCGTTATCTCAGAGTGGTTATACATTGCAATAAAATAGATTAAAATACTCAGGTAATAGACTATTTAAAATTTTGAGAAGCGGGCTACTTATACATATATATATATATATATATATATATATATATATATATATATATATATATATATATATATATATATATATATATATATATATATATATATATATATATATATATATATATATATATACATATACATATAGGGGGGCCCAAACAATTTTTTTGCGGGAGAGCCTTTTTTTTCTAGTTCCGCCACTGATATGACTGTTAAAAAAATTAAAACACACAGACACACACACACACACACAGACACACAGACACAGACACACACACATAAACACAGAGAAAGATAGAGACTGTTGTTTAATGATATTCTTGATGTGTAATTTACGTGGACGGTGTATTTCGTTCCACTCATGACATTGTTTGTCAGTGAAAGTTGCAATTGTTGTAATACTCTCCCCTTATGTCAAATAATGTCGGTGTGTGCATAATCTATATATATAATTCTCTTCTGGGAGCCGCTAGAAAACAAGCTGTAAACGCGATCCCTACCTCCCCATCCCTACATGATCTTAGTGAGCTGTGTTCACTCTAAATGTTTACAAGCAGAGCCAACGATTTTAAACGGAAGGGGGGGGGGGGGGTTATGGTCCTTAACGAGCTACTTACTTATAGTATTTTTTTAAAGAAATATTTTCAGTGGCAGCGTTGGTACTGTCGAATTCACAAATTATGAATTACTGAAAAGTAGAAAATAAAACAACTAAATAGCGGCGTATGTTATGCCGCGGGCCGGCTCGTTTAACATTAATCCACATAGAAGAGACATTTAATTCTAAAAAGGTATTAATTCCAATATAAAATAGCAGTGCTTTTAAAGTAATTTATTTAATGTGGTACCACACCCACTCCGGTGGTTGATTGCTGTATCAGATAGTGAAAATAATTTTTTTAGTTGGTGTCACCCTATCCCTTATACTCGGGTGATATTTTTAAACCATGCACAGTTGATAGAAACGACAATGTTTGTCTATATTTGTTTATCAATACAGCTGGATGTAGCATTGTTTCTGTATTGTTAGTAAGTTTAGGTCATGGTGTCAACCTCCTTAATCCCACCCCCTGTTCGGGCCTGTTCAAGACTATTTAACTTAAGCCAATCATACAGCTGAACTGGAAAAAATAAAAATTTTCTGATATATATATATATATATATATATATATATATATATATATATATATATATATATATATATATATATATATATATATAATACAATATTTTTTGGCTAAGTGTCAACCCCCCTCCCCGCCCCCCCCCTCCCTTAATTGGAGCTACTCGTTGCGGTCCGCCGTAACCCTCCCCTTGTGACGCCTCTACATCCTTCTACTTAGTCAACATGGGGAGGGGTCCTAAACATTGAATTAGTGAACTAGGTAGTGGAAAGGGTTGGTTCCATGTAGATATCTACTCTATTAAAATATCACCCGAATTTGACATACATATAAAGCCACCAAGTTGAAAAACCGTGGTCAATCATCCCTTTGCAAACCATTGTAATTCACCACTCTCATGATATACTTAATTTAGAAGTTAACGGTTAATAGAAAGCACATCGTATTTCTTGATTTCACGTTCTTTTACAACACAACATTTAGGTAACAGGGTGACCCGACTATCATCGTATTACCTGAACTCCACCATGAGCGTCATGGCGCTTACTTTGTTTTTAAAGAGTGCCATACACAAAGAATACGGCGGGCTGCCACAATTGCACGGATAGGCGCCCGAATTCCTTGGCTATATTAGCACTCGGGGTTCACTGATTAAGCGTGAGTACAGGGAGTCATGGGAACTACTTGAACAAACGGCCAAACTGCAGCAGCGAGTTCCACGGCACCCTGCGGTCCTATTACCCAGTGCGCCCCAAATTTTCCATGAGCACTGTGGATCCTAAATTAGTTTTAAACAGCTCCCTACATTCGATGGCTAAACCTAGACACTGTTGGCAGCCGGTGCCACTTTGGAAGTGTAACCAGTGGCTCTCAAGAGTACAATTCAACTCCCCTTGCAATAATCCTGAGAGGTGTTCTACCTCACCCTTGGTACGAGTGATCAACGTACACTCAAGTTTTTTTATACAGCACACCATTGGGTGTGGACAAACCCCCTCCAACAATTGAGATGAAAGAAATTAAAGTATTTTAACGCACCACACTTGAATGAGACTTAGCGTCTAAAATATAGAGTATCTCCCCTAAACATTCTTGAAAATTCTTATATAAAACAACAAGGGATGGCAACTCGGGATATATACATGATTTTTAATCCATTTAAAATAGTTAAACTTTTAAAAATAAAATAAAATCTCGTAGAAAAAAGAATTACACACCAAGTGAACTCCAAACATATGTGCATAATAGTGCGGAACATTATTAGTACTTTATAAATTTACAAGCGTTTTTTGAGAAATCGGAAAAAGCGTAAATTACTACTTCCGGTCAACGGAAATTACTCAAAGTTTGACAGAAGGCACAGAATTAGATCTTTTACTTACATGTGAAATTTCATTTATCTATCTGAAATAATACTCAAGTATAGGCTTTACTAACATATGACATTTTATTTATCTGTCTAAAATAGTACTCAAGTTATAGCCTTAAAAATAACCTGGCAACATTGTGTGTATGATTCTTACAAGCTTTTATTTAACTCGCTTCCTTTGTCGTCAGTCGTCAGTCTGTCGTCAGTCTAGATCGAAACGCAGGAGCGAAAATTCGGACACTTCTACTTGACCGATACAGTTCACAGTTGGCACGTGGGTCAAGACATGAAGACAATGCGATCTGAAATTAAATTAGACTTAATTGAATGCCTAATTAATTTTTTTATGAATTAATTAAAATTTTGACCAAGTTAGTAAGCATGTCTATCCAACCACACCACACGCGTCATCACGTTCAATAGCTGCGCCATCACGTTCAATAGGCACGCAATGGTGACCAAAGTGACCCACGCTTTTCTTTATAGTTATTTAAATAGTAGTCTATAATTTATATTCTACTTTTTAGTGCATTAATACATAAAAGCTTGTTATTAAAACGTTTTTATCATTTTTTTTTTTTACTTTCTCGTTTATGGAGTATAGCAAAAAGTCGTATTGGACATTTTCAAAAAAGACGGAGTGTTACACCTTCCTGGATAGGACACATTTATAATCTTGAAATATAGTCAGCCTACCCATGTGTTTATCTCTGTGTATGTGAACTTGAATGCCGTTTCTGTTAAGTTGACGAGATTTATTATAGGCCTATAAGTGTAGTCTTTTTTCAACTTAAAAAAAATTACTTGCTTATAGTATCCCAGCAATGCTGGAGGGTCCATAAGACCATGATAAAAAACGATAACTCGCTTTATATTTTCAATAGACTACTGATGTAAGTTCAAAGCTATACAGAAAAACAATAACTGTTGAATCAACCTACGTAAAAAAAATAAAAATAAATAAATTACCTTATGTTGACTCATTGAATATAAAATTTTCTTTATTGCCAGCTGTAGATCTATATCACCTCAAGGTTAACCGGACTCGATGGAACATATTTTCGTGACGTGCTGATTAACATGACGTAGAATAGACGTCTAATGTATGATGGCTGGAATCACTTTCTAGTCTATAAAATAGGGTACCAGGTGGTCAAACGTTCAGCCTCGGTGCGTTACAAGTCAAGGTAGATGGTTGTATATTTGAACAAGTTCACTCAATACTTCATCAATAAGAGGTAAACATAGTAAGTCAAGTGTTATGTAGATTGAGATGTGTGGATATTATTATTAAAACTTATAGATTCGATTTTAAAAACTGACGTCTGAGGTTTTGATAAGATCTTATCTAAGTTTGTGTTAGGGAGAATTTATTTTTTTAATTGGATATTTAGTGTGAACTCGTGTATTATTAAATTCTAAGTTCTTATTTTAGAGATAAATAAACCGGGAGTGATCTCCCCTAAACTTTCTCGAATATTCTTATATAAAATAACAGGGGATGGGAACTCGGGCTATAGACATGATTTTTAATCCATTTTAAATACTTAAAGTTTTAAAAATAGAATAAAATCTCGTAGACAAATTAATTGCACACCAAGTGAACGCGAATAAAAAAGCGCATAATAGTGCGCAATATTATTAGTACTTTTAAAATTTACATTAGTTTTTTGAGAAATCGGAAGTAGCGTAAATAAGTACTTCCAGTCAACGAAAAATTCTCAAAATTTGACAGAAGGTAGAGAATTAGATCTTTTACTTACATATCAAATTTCATTTATCTATCTGAAATAGTACTCAAGTTATAGGCTTTTGAAAAATTCAAAGTAGAAAAAGTACCACTTCCGGTTATCCGAAATCGCTCAAAAGTTGATACGGATCTACGATTTTGATAAAATACTTGTATATGAAATTTCATCAACCTAGCTGTAACGGTACTCAAGTTATCGTGTTTACACACGGACACACACACACACAGACACACACACAGACACACAGACATACGGACAAGATTGCAAAATTATGTTTTTCCGTATCAGTGAGATGTAAAACGTCGAGATTTGCAAAAATCTCGATTTTTTTTTTTTGCACGATTACAAGACTTTCTCTATACTTCGTATATACGAGAAAGTAAAAAATGGCCAACCGCCTGGAAGAATTAAACGGACGCCGCCATTTTGATTATGTTGTTGTGGGCTGTGGTGGTATAGGAAGTGGCGCCCTCTACTGGCTGTCAAGGAGAGCTCCAGGCAGTAAGTTTAACTAAGTGAATATTTTATATGGTGCTGATCTTTGGCTTGCTTATTTAGTAGTTTTCATACAACAATAACGTGTTAATACTAACATATTTTTGGTTTAAGTTTTATTCAAATTATCTTCCATATGCAGAACACAATTACACTCTTTCTGCGGTTGTTCAAAATGATGGGAGACTCATTTATTACAGCAAACCATATAAAAACCCACCCCACACTCCGCCCTAAACGACGCCATAAGCCTTGCCCAAACCAAGCCCAACGCCACAGCACACTCCACCCCACTACCAACACAACACCCCACAATATATATACCAGTCACATCCCAGTCATCTAACCCAATACCTCACATTTAATTCTCATTCACTCATATCCACACTATGCACCACTCCTGATACATCAGCCCGCCACACACGCACCACACAGAGTAGACCTAATCCCCACCCCCCCTGTATTCACAACTAGTCTCTCATCTCACCACATAACCACCACTCTAAAGTATAACATAGAGAATTAGTGTTCATAAAGTTTATTGTGCCACAAATATTTAAAAAAAAACTAAACTGTACTACAAAAACAATCTATGAAAACCATTGTCTGGGCGGTTACGAGACAAAAAAAAAGCCTTTACCAAGGAATAGCGGAATAACACACTACCTAGCGGCTTATATTAAAGGTCGGCTAGCCTAATATTTTGTGAAAATATAAAAAAAAAATATCAGATAAGTAAACACATTGATAGAACAATTTAATACCATTAGTTTAGTTCTAAAAATAACTTGAATCTTAAAAGTATTGAACTAATGAGGTGCATAAGTAAATGTAGCTAGCAAATGGTAGAGAACTAATGAATAACAGTATGTCCAATTCCACCATGTAGTATGTTTAGATTTCGATGTTAGTTATGCTAATTATGCAGGGGTCTATGTATATGAGATTAAAGCTGCTTTCATCAAGCTGTTTATTTGATATTTATATGACTTTGTTGGTTATATCTATCTTGGTTTTTATCTATCTGACAGAAGGTTTAGGAGGTTTAATTTAATGTTGATTTGACTGTGTCGGTTTGATCTATTTGACAGAAGGTTTAGGAGGTTTAATTTAATGTTGATTTGACTGTGTTGGTTTGATCTATTTGACAGAAGGTTTAGGAGGTTTTATTTTATCTTGATAGGACTTTGTAGTAGGCTTTCTCTATGTGACTGGAGGTTAGAATTTTTAAATTTTTCAACACACAGTACAGTGCAGCCAACAGAGTTGAATAAACACGGCATAGTCATATTTTGTTTGTATTCTGAACTCAATTGTGCATCTAGTTCTGTTTTATATTCCCACAGACTTAGTCTTAACCTAATATGAAAATAATATAAATATTTAGAATAAAATAATAGAAAGGAAACTTTTTTTATATAGATGTACTTGGCCTAGAAAGATTCAACCTGTACCATGAAAATGGTGGATCACAAGACGTATCAAGAATAATGTGAGTTTTTGGACGTGTCTTTCTCGCCGTTTAAACTTAAGGGACTTGAACTCACTAATTAATTAAGATGTATTTTCCACAGCTTAACGACAATTAATGCAAATCCAAATTTGCTATTGCAGAAGACTGATGTACCCGGCTGAACGATATCTGAGGCTGACACCGGATACTTTTAAAACGTAGGTGCAAAGTTTTATCTACACCGGATACTTTTAAAACGTAGGTGCAAGTTTTAAGCTACACCGCCTACTTTTAAAACGTAGGTGCAAGTTTTAAGCTACACCGCATACTTTTAAAACGTACGTGCAAGTTTTAAGCTAAACCGGATACTTTTTAAAACGTACGTGCAAGTTTTAAGCTACACCGCATACTTTTAAAACGTAGGTCCAAAGTTTAAGCAACACCGGATACCTTTTAACTATAATTTCTGTTCTGTTTGATTTTTATCAACAAATAGCCGCTGTATTTTAATTATTATTCAACTGCTAATTATTTCATCATTTGCATCACATCATCAGTCGATCTACACAATTCAAATTATCGCATCGTATCTACAGCAGCTTAACCGTGTTATCACAGCTGTTGTATCCAACTATTGTATCCTAGTTGTTGTAAAGGCTATTTCTCTATTCTAACATAACTCCTACTGATCAGATGGGAGACGATAGAAGAAGAGTCTGGCATGCAACTTGTCTACAAGTCTGGAGGGCTGATCATCACAGAGCGAGGGGTCAGTGACCAGATTCTGGACGAGTACGAAGACAGCTTGAAGAGGCACAACATGCCGTACCAACGCTGGGATCACAAGCAACTCATGGAGCATTACCCTCAGGTACAATCGGGTACGGTCGATAGACAACGCTCCCCTCAGATCGAACACCGTTGTTAGACGTATCCTCAAGTACAGTTGGTTGTGAGATGGACCCTCAGGCAGAGCCGGGTGAAGAACCTGACGAGCCAGGTCTTTCCCCATCAGCTGCCCACACCCCATCAACTGACTGCCCGCACGCCATCAACTGACTGCCCACACCCCATCAGCTGCCCACACCCCATCAACTGACTGCCCAAACCCCATCAACTGACTGCCCACATCCCATCAACTGACTGCCCACACCCCATCAGCTGACTGCCCACACCCCATCAACTGACTGCCCACACCCCATCAACTGACTGCCCACACCCCATCAACTGACTGCCCTCACTTCAACAGCTGATAAGCATTACCCGATCAGCTGACTGCCCGCACCCCAAGAGCTGTCGACCCTCAAATGCGACGGAAAAGTATGACGGTCAATCGAAAATGTTGACTTTTCATTTTTTAAGCCTTTTAAAATTTGTTTTGCCAGCTTGTTAAAAAAAATGTGCGCAGAATCAGAATTTATTCATGAACCTTACATTTATTTATAGTTTACAGCTGGGCCTGGAGTTAAAGCCCTATTTCAGAAGGATGCTGGGATTGTGGACGCTGCGCTGGGCAATTCGTTACATGTCCAGTTAGCCCAGGGGCGTGGAGCCAAAGTCTTGGACAACTGCCCCGTCTCCAGGATAGTGCGCAGACAAGATGGGCTCATTGAGGTTAGCCATTTTTAGCGCAATTTCCATTCTGGAGAATTGCGTTTATTAACCCGTCATTTCTGGATGTATGAATGGATGGATGGATGTGTGTCCGCAGCTTTAAGTCGTATCTCCTCCTCAACGAAGCAATATCGAGGACTAGTTCCAAAGCAATTATGTTACGCAAGTTACGAGGATGAACATAGGCCAAAAAAATTCCGGGTTTCTTTCATGGATTTCCCGGAAAAGCCAAAAAACCTCGAACAAATGCTGTTTTTGCTCCATATCTCGGCAACCAGACCATTTAGCGACTTGAAACATTTACCAATCGATTCCTGCCATAATTTAATCCAATATTGCCGAAGAAAGTTTTCAAAAATATCCTTTCGTTCGGTCACAAATTTTTTTTAAATATATTTTAAACTGAGCGTCTTGTAGGCCTAGTTTTAATTTAAACTGAGCGTCTTGTAGGTTTTTAGCGCAAAGCGCTGAGGTTCGAAAGAATTTTTTTATTACTTATTAATTCAAACGTTATTTTTGTACCCTATTAATTTATTTATAATTTATATGAGAGTGATAGGGAGTTACAATTACAAGGTTTTGTTTCATTGGCCTAATCATTTTTTTTCACATTTTTTAAAAACAATAGAGTTATATGACTAAAAACCATTGCGCGCCTACTGAACGTGATGGCGCAGCCATGGAACGTGATGACGCATCTATTGAACGTGATGACGCGTACATAAGGAAATTGCGCTAAAATTGTCACTAGACTTTTTAATTAACTTGTTTCTTTAAAAAACAGTGCCAAGTTTTGTATTTCTAATTGAAATTTTATCCTAGTATGAGGCATACTATATGCTAATTTTTTGTTTATAAATGAAAACAAATTAATGCACATTATAAACCACCTTTTATTTCTACATTCAACGTTGCCAAAATAGCGACATGGAAAATAAAACAATGGACATTAAATTTAACTGTATTAGTCATAGATTTAAACAGTTTCAACCACCACCAGTCCACAATGAAATCATCACTTTTTAGAAGTCCTGTATCTACTAACATTGTAGCTGGAAAGTTTGAACTCCAAAAACAACATTTTTTTTCTGACAGGTGGGCACTCCACTTGCCAACTTCACGTGTAAGAAGCTCGTGATAACTGCAGGTGCTTGGATCAACAATATCCTGAGTATGATCGGGTGTCACGTGCCTGTCTACATCACGCAAGAGAACGTCACGTACTTTGGTACTCCGCACGTGAAGGAGTTTACAGCAGACAAGTTAGCAACGTTTTGTACTGAATATTTTAATTTTTACAAAGTATAGGTGATATGCGTCCGTTTGAACCGCTAGAGTAGGGCAGGCCAAGGACTGAAAAGACACTCTTATAGATCTACGATGAAATGGAGTAAAGAAAAAAATTAAATTGTTTTTAACATGTTGTTTCCGCTGTTTGACACATTTGAATTGCATTACCATTTTTTTCCTACTCGTCGTTTTGTATAAATTATGCAAAAATAATTAACAAACTGCTCCATAAGTGTTTGGTTTTAAATATTTCAGCCAAACCCTACCTCGCGTATACAAATGACACAGAGTTTAGAGCACGAATTGAAATCTTGATTTAATACAATAAGCAGCGAAAAAAGTGTGTACATTCTCTATGAATAATTTTCGTTTAGGATAGATATTAGACGTCAACTATTCTTTTTCTTTATGTGTATGTTCATGACATTATATTTTAGTCGATATGTTTTCAATACTTCTGAATATTGGCGGAAGCGGAGAAAATATGTAGACCTAGCCTTCTCCCCCTCCATATATTGCTATTAATAAGCCACAAAAATAAAAAAATAAAAAATTAAAACAATAAAAAACAAACCAAAAGCTGATAGGACTTTGTCTTCAGGTTTCCGTCGTTTGTATGGCACAGCCCAGAGCACGTGACGTACGCTTTACCTGTGCACAGGATCAGTGGCACCAAAATAGGCATCAACTCCTACTCCCAAGTCGTGACAGGTGATACTCGGACATGGACGCCAGATCCTGTTAGACTACAGCTGGCGATCGACTTCTGCAGGAAACGTGTGCCTAAGGTACTATATATATATATATATATATATATATATATATATATATATATATATATATATATATATATATATATATATAGTGTATGTCTCCATCTATGTATAACTCTAAGACATTAATCCACTCTTTAGCCTTGTGTTTCCCCCTCCATGTCAATGATTACACCTCCTTTGAGAGTTATACTTTTACATACCCCTATCCCTCTGCATATCCTTCTCAATGTCCCTAACCTTATCACTACTGATACCCCTATCCATTATTCACATGCCCAAGTATTAGTGTCCAATTAATAGAACTAACACCTTCTATTGCTTACCTGTCCAAGTATTTAGGTCCGGTCATTAAAACTAAGACCTTCTATTGCTTACCTGTCCAAGAATTTAGGTCCAGTCATTAAAACTAAGGCATTCTGTTGCTTACCTGTCCAAGAATTTAGGTTCAGTCATTAAAACTAAGACCTTCTATTGCTTACCTGTCCAAGAATTTAGGTCCAGTCATTAAAACTAAGACCTTCTATTGCTTACCTGTCCAAGAATTTAGGTCCAGTCATTAAAACTAAGACATTCTATACCTGTCCAAGTATTTAGGTCCAGTCATTAAAACTAAGCCCTTCAATTGCTTACCTGTCCAAGAATTTAGGTCCAGTCATTAAAACTACGACCTTCTATACCTGCCTAAGTATTTAGGTCCAGTCATTAAAACTAAGACCTTCTATACCTGTCCAAGTATTTAGGTCCAGTCATTAAAACTAAGACCTGTCTGTATGACATGACATCTGATGGAGATTTCCTCCTGGACACCTGCGCTAAAGCCGGCTTCCATGACGTCATCGTCTGCTGTGGATCCGCGCATGCCTACAAGTAACCATTATTTTTACAAGCTCTTATAAATTTATACTCTGAAAAGGAGAAAAAAAAATATTTTCTTTAATAATACAATAATTAACTATTATTTAAATAACTAAAAATAAAAACGTGGTTCGCTGTATTACGTATTAAATAGCTTTACTAAAATTTAATAAACGATCCACGCTTTTCATTTTTAGTTATTTAAATATAAGTTCATTACTTTAAATTTATTAACAATTTTATTTTAAAATTTTTAATATATATAATTTTTTTTTTATAAATTTTTGTAATTAAAACTTTATTTTTATTTTCAAAAATATATATCTTCATTATAGAAATTCGCCACTGGCCTATGACAATATAAGTTTTATTTTGTTTCTCTAATATCACGCTGTTTTTAATCTAAATTAACATTTTCTATAAAGTTTTACAGTTCTAAAGTGTCCCCCACAAAGTTTTACTGAGCTAAAGTTTCTCCCCTTAAATATAACTGAGCTAAAGTGTCTCCCAATACTGAGCTAAAGTGTCTCCCATCATCCCCAGGTTCGCAAGCCTTCTGGGTAAAATCCTCAGCGAGATGGCAGTGGACGGGGTCACCAAGTACGACATCTCAGAGTTCCGCTGGGACAGGGAGGGTCTGACTGACCCCAACTTTAAAACAATCACCGAGCATTCAGACACGGGGAGGAGCAAATTATGATAAAATACAGTGCATCTTGACATCATCAGTCTCCGCCTTGATGTTAAACCTTGACAAGCAAACCTAGGCTATCAAAACAAAACTAATCATTTAAGTTGTATCACGTTAACATAACACGACCTTACCACATTAACATTAACAAAATAAATGGAATAAATTCAGTAGCCCTTTTGTTGTTATATTTTCACTAGCTGCATACACATGCTCGCCTCGGTAAATCTTATTTATATGTACCAACTTAGGAACAGAACAGAACAAAACTAAACACAACACAAACACAACACGAGCACAACACAAACACAACACAAACACAACACAAACACAACACAAACACAACACAAACACAACACAAACACAACACAAACACAACATCAACACAAAAGAAAACATACCACCAGCGGACGCAACTGATTCATTGAATGACTATAAAAGCCCCAGTTTGTCTGCTAACCGAAAGATAGAATAATAATTAGTATACAGTACGTTCAGTGTATAAAATAAATAAAAGGCAGTATTTAAAATATCCGTGTTTTACCTACCATATTGCACTTTATCAATTCGTGTATTTTTTTTTCAGTTCTTTAAATTAAAAAAAAAATACAATAGTTTCATGACTTAAACCATTGCGCACATAATGAACGTCATGACGCGTGTATAATGTTGCGGAGTAGTTGATTAAAATTATAATTAGTACGTTTAGTGAATAAAATAAATAAAAGATAGCCTTTTATCAATCCATGCTAATTATAATATTCCAACAATAATGTCCTCTTACACGTCTGCAGATTTTGCATTCATTTTTTTTATTAGCGTGAGTTGAATTTATTTTAAAATTACCCCCCCTTGGCAAAATTCCAAAACAGTTTAATTCATTAGTTTTTTCGACCCTACTGTTATTAAAATGTATCCACTTTTCCCTAGGAATCTAAACGAAAATGATATTTGACATTGATCCGTTTAATATGTTTTAGCAATTTGCTTGTATTTAATAATTTCTTTAACGTTATGCAAAGGAGTAAAAATGTAGCAACTATAATATCACTTTAAGTGGTTATATAAACAAACCCAACTCTATTTCTTATAATAAGACACTGTGTTGCTAGTAAAAAGCACGACATGTGATGCGTTTACTTTTATGGTTCCAAAATCTATAGCGATGACGGAAGGACTGTCACACTTCCAGCCCGCTTATATTATAGACTAGCTGCATTTACTGTGCTCTGCCACGGTAAATCTTTTTAAAATGTACCAACTTGGGAACAGAACAAAACTAAACACAACAAAAACACAACACAAACACAATACAACACAAACACAACACAATACAACACAACACAACACAATGCAAACACAACTCAAACACAACACAAACACAACACAAACACAACACAAACACAAATGAAAACTCAAACACAACACAAACACAAACACAATGCAAACAAACACAATGGAAACATACACGAAAACACATACGCAGCACAAAAACACAAAAAGACAACACTCATAACATAAACACAACTTAAATGCAAAATTAAACGCATAGTACTCATAGTTTAGCCCGTGGCGCCAAATCGCGCCCTGTCCAAGCGCCGGCGGTCGCGCCTGACTCATTGAACGACTATAAAAAACCCAGTTTGTCCGCAAACCGAAAGATAGAATAATATCAGTAAACAGTACGTCAGTGTATAAAATAAATAAAAGGCAGTATTTAAAGTATCCGTGTTTTACCTACCATATTGCACTTTATCAATTCATGTATTTTTTTCAGTTCTTTAAATAAAAAAAAATGCAATATAGTTTCATGAATGGGGAATAGTTGATTAAAAATTATCATTAGTAAACAGTACGTTTAGTGAATAAAATGAATAAAAGGTAGCCTTTTATCAATCCATGCTAATTATAATATTCCAACAATAATGTCCTCTTACACGTCTGCATAATTTGCATTCATATTTTGCTAATTATATTATTCCAACAAGTATTCCATCTTGGAGATTTTGCATTCACATTTTTTTTAGCGTGAGATGAATTTATTTCTAAAAAACCTCCCTTGGCAAAATTAACAGTTTATTTAATTAGATTTTTCTACTCTATTATTTTATTAAATGCATCAATTTTTTCTAAGAATCTAAACGAAAAAAATATTTCACATTGATCCGCTTAATTTGTTTTAGCTATTTGAGTGCATTTAATATTTTCTTTACGTTATGCAAAAGAGTAAAAGCAGTGGCAACTATGAAATAAATTTAAGTCGTTATATAAATAAACCCTACTCTGTTACTTATAATAAGACAATGCGATGCAAGTAAAAAGCACGTCATGTGATGTGTTTACTTTTTTGGTTCCAAATTGATGACGAAAGAAAGGACTGACACATTACCACCAGCCTATATTTCATATATATATATATATATATATATATATATATATATATATATATATATATATATATATATATATATATATATATATATATATATATATATATATATATATATATATATACATTTTTTCGTCAATTTTGAGAGTCACTAATTTTAATCGTCGTATCGTAACTTTGCAACTGCACTAATAAAACAATTAAAAATAATTAAATAAAAAAACAACACTTTTTCTACAAGCTTTTATTTAACTTGCTTCCTCTGTCGTCAGAGCGATATTGCAGACACTTCTAAGTTACAGATACTGTTCGTAGTTGGTACCTGTGTCAAGATATGAAGACAAGGCATCATCACATTAAATTTGACTTAATTTCATGCCTAATTAAGTTTTTATGAATCAACTAAAATTTTGACCGAATTAGTAGGCAGTCTTATCCAACTTCTCCACACGCGTCATCAAGATCAATGGGTCGCAATGGTTTTTAGTCATGTAACGCTATTGTAAATAAAAACATGAAAAGTACTTAAAAAAAACAACAAAAAAAAACCCTTTTAATAAGCTTTTATGTAATAATGCACTAAAAAAGAGAAAATAAATTATAGACTACTATTTAAATAACTATAAAGAAAAGCGTGGATCTCTTCCTAAATATTAGTAAAGGTATCCAATAGATACTAAAGTAACCCACGCTTTTCTTTATAGTTATTTAAATAGTAGTCTATAATTTATTTTCTCCTTTTTAGTGCATTATTACATAAAAGCTTGTTATTAAAACGTTTTTTATGAAATGTTTTTTACCAATTTTTTTTTAAAAAGCAAATTAAAGGCAATTTGTGCTACGTTATCTAAGCCAGAAATAAAAAATAAAGTTTGTCAAAAAAGGAAGATGACCTATTCAACAACGAAATAGCAATTGCGTATTGGGCGGGCTGATCCGAGGAAGTACACCACGGCTGGACAAGGTGCTCACCAGCTCGTACATTCACGTGCTGAGGTCAGATAAACGGATGAGCTTTGATCACCTGTGTCTAAGACTGTGGAATCTAAACTCTTGGACCTTTGTGTGTACATGTGTCTCTCTCTCGGTGTGTCTATGAACAGTATACCACGAGTAATTTCTTGTGTAAGTGTTCTATCTAATTTATAGTTCTGTATTAACTTTTTAGAAATTTCCAGTTGTACTTCCGGTTTCCCAAAAGCCAAAATTTTGAGTATCTTTTGTGTTAAGTGGGAGAAATTTCACATGTAAGTATTTCATTGTATGTGCAAAGCTCTTTCCAATTTTAAAAGAATTCCTGTAATCGGAAAATTTACTTTATTTCAATGAGAACAGAATAGCCTGAGAGTATTTAGGTTAACGAAATTTCATATATAAGTATATGATCTTATGTTCGCGTAGATTGAAGTAACTTTATGCATAGATTACAGGAAAATTTTGAGTTATTTCCGGTAGCCGGAACTAGTAATTTACGCTATTTTCGAATTCTCAAAAAACCATAACGATTATCTTCTGGGCGATTATTTTCTACATCAAACATTTAATATACGAGAACATTTATGAGAGATAACTCCCGCTTTACTTTCAATACTGAAAAACTAAGAATACGATCACACATTTAACGTATTCAGGAGGCTGTTAATGTCAACGAGGTTCAAAGGATGGCTGGGAATGATCAACTCTTGACACATGAAATGGCTTGACTGATTTGAAATGGCTCACTTCATGTAGCCAGTCTATTTATGAACTGCTGAATTGACATCACTTCAGCTGACACGGAGCAACATGTTTTTGTGGCGTGGATACAAAACGAGTGCACTCACAAACAGGATGGTGCCATCTGGTGAAGTATTGACAGGGTCTGCCGCAGCTTTCTACTCTATAAATGAGAAGAGCAGCTGGTTAGACGGTCAGCCTCAGCTCTGGTACAGGATCAGTCAGGATAGATGTTTCTGTTAAATTTTAGCAGGCCCACGAGAATTTAAACAGTCCAGAACACACGATACCTCGATAGCGCTAGGTGAACTCAGAAGAGCATTTTAAGATTGAGATTTTTATGGCATTTAAATTTAAAAAAAAAGATTCTATTATTAAACCTGTTTGATCAAGGTATAAATTTAGACTCTGAAGTTTTTATACGCAGCATCTCAGTTCAATTGTGAATAAAATGTTAAGAAGAATTTTTTTTTCAACATGAGGTTCATTGTGAATTTATTTATAATTTAACTTCTGAAATTGTTATTTTAAAGAAAAAAATAATGGCCAATCGCTTGGACGAATTAAACGGACGCCGCCATTTTGATTATGTTGTTGTGGGCTGTGGTGGTATAGGAAGTGGCGCCCTCTATTGGCTGTCAAGGAGAGCTCCAGGCAGTAAGTTTAACTAAGTATTTAGTGAGTATTATATGTGGCTTTTATCTTTGACTAGGCTTGCTTATTTTAATGGGTTTAACCCCGTGTTAATATTATTGTCATAGGTTAAAGCCTACATATATTTTATTTTACTCAAAATGTCTCAAACTTGGATAATTCAAATGCACTTTATCTTTAGTTAATAAAATAAGAGTCACATGATGCACTCGTTATTCTTCTTAAATGTAAACTTAAAGAAATTATAAACTCCCATATATTTTAGTTTTAATTTCTCGTATATACGAAGTATAGAGAAAGTCTTGTAATCGTGCAAAAAAAAAAATCGAGATTTTTGCGAATCTCGACGTTTTACACCTCCCTGAGTCGAAAAAACATAGTTCTGCGATCTTGTCCGTATGTCTGTGTGTATGTGTATTTTTTTATCAAACAGGTGTGCTGGGCCTAGAAAGATTCAACCTGTACCATGAAAATGGTGGATCACAAGACGTATCCAGAATAATGTGAGTCTTAGATCTTAATGATTGTAATTCATTAGTTAAGAGATTTTCCCATGCATCATAAAAATAAATTATAACCACAATGTTCTATTGCAGAAGACTGATGTACCCGAGTGAAAAATATCTTAGGTTGACACCGGATACTTTTAAAACGTAGGTGCAAGTTTTCAAATTACACCGGATACTTTTAAAACGTAGGTGCAAGTTGTTTACACGTTACACCGGATACTTTTAAAACGTAGGTGCAAGTTATCAAATTACACCGGATACTTTTAAAACGTAGGTAAAAAAAATCTGGAATGGGTTCTTTGAATCTTTGTTCCATCTTTTAAAATGAAATTTGATACTTAAAATAAAAGATTGTTTTTAGATGTCATCTTCTACTTTTCAAATGTAAGTTGAAATCTACTATTCAGCACCAGCCGCTGTGTCCCAACCATTGTTGCCCAGCAAATCTATCACATACCTTGCATCACATTGTACCTCAAACATAAAGTCCATCTAAAGAATCCTAAGTATGGCATCGATCGCATTCACATCACCTTAGTCGCTGGATCCCAGCTGTTTTATCCCAACTTTTCTATCCCAGCTGTTGAATCCCAGATGTTTTATCCCAGTTGTTTTATCCCAGTTGTTATAACCTGTCGTATTCCCCCTGTAAACGTCCAGCCTATCTCTCTCTCTTCTATCATAAACACCTGCTGGTCAGATGGGAGACGATAGAAGAAGAGTCTGGCATGCAACTTGTCTACAAGTCTGGAGGGCTGATCATAACAGAGCGAGGGGTCAGTGATCAGATTCTGGACGAGTACGAAGACGGCTTGAAGAGACACAACATGCCGTACCAACGTTGGGATCACAAGCAGCTCATGGAGCATTACCCTCAGGTACTTTCGGGTACAGTTGTTATACGTACCCTCAGGTACAGTCGGGTACGGTTGTTAGAAGTACCCTGAAGTAGTGTTTTATAACACAGTAAAGACCCACTTTAGATGTGCAGTTTTTAAGTTTATGTCTATTTATAGTTCACGGTGGGACCGGAAGTAGAAGCCCTATTCCAGAAGGATGCTGGGATTGTGGACGCTGGGCTGGGCAATTCGTTACATGTCCAGTTAGCCCAGGGGCGTGGAGCCAAAGTCTTGGACAACTGCCCCGTCTCCAGGATAGTGCGCAGACAAGATGGGCTCATTGAGGTGAGCCTCATTTTGAAAATCGCTTTTAAAGTATATTTCAGCTGTTTTAATGAAACAAACCTTAAAACAACTTATTGCCGTGGTTCTAAAACTTCTGACATGTCCAGCATCATTTTGGTTTTCTTCGGGTTAACATAATCAGCTAATTCACTTAACTATAACATTGTTTCTAATTTTCATTTCTGCTACACAATTGTTAAAGTCTCTACACAATTTCACTGCTTATTACAACAAGAGACAAAAAAGTATTATATATTTAGTAATTTTTTTTGTAGAATTAAATAGACCTTATGCTGTAATTTATTCCAATTATAACTATATTTATACTTAAATTTGGCTTCTCTTGGCTTTGTTTAAATCAGATTAATTTTTTTTTACAAATTTTAGATATCGAAACTTAGATATCATTTGGATGAGCAATCTAGAATATCAATCTTATTGATTAAAACAACACTCTGTGAACGCAATTTCTGCATATTTGTAACAATCATAAATCCCCCAAAGCGCTGTGTCTGCCTTTACGTTAAACCCAAGTTTTAAACTAGATCTTGTTTATCAGGTGAGCACTCCACTGGCCAACTTCACGTGCAAGAAGCTCGTGATAACAGTTGGAGCTTGGATCAACAATCTCCTTAGTATGATCGGGTGTCACGTGCCTGTCCACGTGACCGAAGAGAATGTGACGTACTTCGGGTCACCTCACGTGAAGGAATTCACCACAGACAAGTAAACAAAGTTTGAGTACATTTTAAATGTTACATGGGGTGGTAGAGGAAAGGGAAAGGTTTGGAAATGTAAGGTGGGCAGTGTTGTTAAATAATTGTGTGTGCTGGGTTGGTTAACTAATTTGGGATTGGGTTTGATACATTTGAAGGGTGAGGTTTTTTATTTTCACGGGGTAACGTTGAGTGTGTGAATATATAGGGTTGAGTGTAAACTATCAGGAGTGTGATATGTATAGTGTATTCGAGGCAATACCTGCACTGCGGCACCTGCTTACCCTTCAAAGGCAATAAGTAACTTCTTTATTAAATCAAGCCAGAAAATAAAGTAAACGTCCGATTGAATTTTGTTTAAAATGTAAATTTAAAGGAAAATACATACGAGTAACTTTCATAAACAATCCAATGAGACCTGATCCTAAAAAATATTTAGTTTGATGAGACAGCCTACTAATTTGGACAAAATTCATAAAAAAATAATTAGGCATCCAATTGATTCAAATTTAATGTCAAATTCCATTGTCTTCATGTCTTGCCGCACGTGCTAACTTTGAACCGTATCTGTCTGTTAGAAGTGCCCGTAATTTCGCTCGGCCGTTTCGATCTAGACTGACGACAGACAGACTGTCGACAGAGACATTGAGTTATATAAAAGCTTGTAAAAATTGAATGTTTACTTCCAATGAGATCTGATGCTAAAAATGGAATGTTTACTTCCAGATTCCCCATGTTTATATGGCACGGCACAGGTAAAGACGTGTACGCCCTACCTGTACACGCCATCAGCGGCACCAAGATCGGCTTGGACTCAGGTGGACCAGTGGTCACTGGCGACAAGAGGACCTGGACACCCGACCCAGCTAGACTCCAAGAGGTCGTTAATTTCTGCCGGAAAAATTTGCCCAAGGTAACCAACTGTTTTAGCTGTTGGTGGTCCTGTAGTCTTATGAACCTAAGAAATACCAATTGTTTTATCTGTCGTAGTATTTAGGTTCAATCACTTAAACTTAGTTCTTCAATGCTTACTTGTTAAAGTATTTAGGTCCAGCCATTAAAACTAAGACCTTCTATACCTGTCCACGTATTTAGGTCCAGTCATTAAAACTAAGACCTTCTATTGCTTACCTGTCCAACCATTTAGGTCCAGTCATTAAAACTAAGACCTTCTATACCTGTCCAAGTATTTAGGTCCAGTTATTAAAACTAAGACCTGCCTGTATGACATGACACCTGATCGAGATTTCCTCCTGGACACCTGTGCTAAAGCCGGCTTCCCTGACGTCATCGTTTGCTGTGGATCCAGTCACGGTTACAAGTAATTTTTTTTACCACTGGAGTCAAATAAGTCAGGAACATACCAGGGGCATAGTTAGCAGGGGATGGTGGGGTGGCTACTCCAGGCGCCGATCATATGGGCGCTAAACGAGAAAAAATAAAATGCTGATAATGTACTGCGTTGCGACACCTGCAATCTTTAGATTTAGATTTTTAAAGTCGAAAACCAGAAATCTTACAATAGTATAGTTTTTTAGCGCAATTTCCATACGGACAATTGCGATTATTAACTCGTCATTTCTGGATGGATGAATGAATGAATGGATGGATAGATGTGCGTCCGCATCTTTAAGTCGTATCTCCTCCTCAACGAAGCAATATCGAGGACTAGTTCCAAAAGCAAATATGTTAAGCAAGTTCCGAGGATGATTGTGGTCCAATGAAATTCCCGGATTTCCTTCCTGGATTTCCCGGAAAAGCCGAAAAACCTCGAAAAAAATGCAGTTTTTTGCCCATATCTCGGCAACCAGACCACTTAGCGACTTGAAACATTTACCAATCGATTTCTTCCATAATTTAGAACAATATTGCCGAATAAAGTTCTCAAAAATATCCTTTCGTTCGGTCACAAAAAATTAAAAATTGTTATGGATAGCATAAGGAAATTGCGCTTAAATTGTCACTAGACTTTTTATTAACTTGTTTTTGCATAGAAATAAATTGTAAAATTGTGTAACAATGTATGTGAAGAATGCTTTGAAATTGATAAAGTAAAATTTAACTTGACTTAAATATTTCAGCAAATGAATTTTAATTAGCTCACGTATGTCCTTATTGAGATTATCATAACTGACTTTTGTTTCCTGTTCTGAGCTTTATTGTTTTTCATAGATTTTACTGAGTTAAAGTGTCTCCCCTTAAATATAATTGAGGTTAAGTGTCTCCACAAAGTTTTACTGAGCAAAAGTTTCTCCCCTGAAATATAACTGAGCTAAAGTGTCTCACGCTACGTTTTACAGAGTTAAAGTTTCTCCCATTACTGAGCTAAAGTGTCTCCCATTACTGAGCTAAAGTGTCTCCCATTACTGAGCTAAAGTGTCACCCATCATCCCCAGGTTCGCAAGCCTTCTGGGTAAAATCCTCAGCGAGATGGCAGTGGACGGGGTCACCAAGTACGACATCTCAGAGTTCCGCTGGGACAGGGAGGGTCTGACTGACCCCAACTTCAAACCAATCACTGTGCATTCAGACAAGGGAAAGAGCAAATTATGATTACTCACGGCGTACGAGTATAAATCCCGCTATAACAGCATGAAACTAGAAAACTGACCCATCTCACTGTCAGCTGGCTTCTTGTCTACTGATTAAGATTGTTTAAAAACATAAAAGAAAATAGAAATAAAGTCCTCGATTAAAATAAGTGACTTAACCATTACGATTTATTTGTGTGAAATTTTTTTACAATATTTATTTTTAAAAATACGTATTTTCAATAATCAATGAAGCTGAAAGGCCAACAAATATTATTCTTCTGTTTTGAAAACTTCGTATTTTGATTCTCCTTCGCCATTTCATTCACTACCCAAACCAAGATAAGCCGAGGTCATTGAAACAGAAGAACTCTACTTCATCTGTCCCATGTGTCTTGAGCACAAACGGGAAAAAAGATGACGAAGAACCATCCGCTTTACCAACCCAAATACGCCGACCACTGTCTTCTTGATACCGACCTTATTATAATCAGCGAGACACTTGCAAACTCTTTCTGGAGTAAATTATTCACTTTTACTACGACATCTACAAGATGAATGACAACATATCAACAACAAAAGCCCAATCGTTTTTCACTACCCCAGCCCCAGTCTGAAAATACTTAAAAACATATCCCTACACTAAAAAATATCAAACTCACATTCCCCTTTACTCTAGTTTAAACATAACCTGCCCTATATTCACCCCCCCTCCCCGCCTTTTATCGATCAATTATAATGAATCCACCCTACTGATTCTGATCATTAACTTATTATATTAGCGTGCAGCTGTTGGTGTCATTACTTTTATCCCGTCTGTGCTTAGAATTGTGTATCCCAATTTTAGATGTACAGTATACTAATCTAGCTAATCCCAAATGACGAGTCAACAGCTTCATCTAGACTTAATTTAATGTGTCATACGCACATAATTTACTGAAGGGTGGGGGGGGGGGAGGGGGAGGACAGAGATCGGTGGATGTTGGAATTTTTCTGAATATGATACAAAATGAAATGTTAAAAAAAACGATCTATAACATTTCGGTTTCCCTCAATTCAGTAAGCTTACGAACAATAATATATATATATATATATATATATATATATATATATATATATATATATATATATATATATATATATATATACATACATATGTATACGCACACGCGCGCACACACGCACACAAACACACACATACATACATACACACACACACATATATATATATATATATATATATATATATATATATATATATATATATATATATGTATATATATATATATATATACATACATACATAGATACCTATATATAGACATATATTATAAATATACACATATAAACATATAAACAGGACAATAAGAAAATATGTGTTAATGTTTAAATGTTTTTGGAGCCAGATTAAAATTCATTTGCACCAAAACACCTTGGCCTAAACTTAACAACACATTATTTTTTTATCTTTCTCTAAATTTTGATTACATTAAAACAGAAAATATTTATGTTGTTAGAGTGGAATGGTTCAATGAATATATCACTGTCAGTATGTGATTTCAGCTGTTTCCCATTTAGTTTTCAGTCGTATTGATTAAAGCCATTTTCATAAACCAGGTTATTTTAGATTTATTTTCAACTTTAGAAGTGATATGCAGTGCGTAATTGGCTTACTGCTAACGAAAAAAGTGTGCTTTTGATTATATTTTTTTTCTAAAAGCTGTACAAAGGGTGAGAAATCCAATTTCAACTTCGGTCAAAGTAAACAGAAAACTCTAAGATTTATATCGATCTTGAGCTATTGATTTATCTTCTTGTTCGCGATCCAGTTTATTGTGACTCGAATTTTTAAAACGTTGTATTCATGAAGTAACTTTACATAGTCAAGCGATGGAGCCTGGAGTCAGCAGCGCGATTGTTTCTTTAGTGTTTTTATTCATCCCTTCGTTCATGCCTGTTCTTTCGGCTAGTGTGAGAAGTGTGGGGATTACCAAAAAGGAAAATTCCACCGACATTGCATGGGAAAGTGTCATTGAAAACTTCTTAAAGGAAAGTACGATCGACAACATCACCGAAAGCCTACTCGGTGAAGATCATAACTTAGATAATGAAAGAGGAAATATGCTTGATAATACACCGAAATTCCGAAATATAAGCAACAATTTAAATAATGAACACCATGGAAATGTACACAAATCTTTTCGTAGAAATGCACTGCATCCTAAAATAACATCACTGAAACAGAATTCATCATCAGAAAATAAAACACACAAGCTAACTTTACTTACAGAAAGTCAAAATCCGAAAATGAATTTATCTGAAGCGAGTCGAAAACCGGAAGTAAATGAAACTGAAAGTAGAACACCACCGGAAAAGTCTAAGTCCTTGAAAGATCAACAAGAATCACCACATCCAAAGGCAGACGTACCAGAAGCCGAAGCTTTGCCGTCGATAGTAAACAGAGGGAGAAAGTACCTGCACAAAATCGACCCTACGACGTTCATTCGCTGGCATATGGAAAATAAATCGGCCATCTTTGAGAGAGGACTTCTGAGCACGACCAGGGAGGACTGCTCGTTTGGCTACGTCCGACATGACGATCGATGTTACTCGGTCTTTGACGTGCTGACTCATTTCGATGACTGTGTAGTGATCTGTCACCTTTTTAAGTAGGTTTGACATGATGTAGTGATCTGTTACCTTATATATATATATATATATATATATATATATATATATATATATATATATATATATATATTCATACATACATTGCCATTTAGGGAGTATATAGCTTGAAAATGTTGAATTAATATACGATAAGAATTTTAATTTAATATATTATTTGTACATTTCTCGTTCCTGTAGTTACTGTTCAGATGTTATAATTCAGTACAACACCACCTTGTAATACTATAATTAAAGCTAATGCTAATATAATGAAACATAAATAAATCAATTAAAGCTCTAATCCAACGACGTTCAGATATTGTGTGGTAATGATGTTGTTGTTCTCGACAGCGGGTCCATCTCTATGCCGACCTCCGCGACCACCAGGGACTTCATCCATCGGCAAGTGACCGACTCGGTGGCAGCGATGAGCCTGACGGTGGATAACCCTTACTGGTTGGGTGTCACGTACATCAAAAACGCCTGGCGCAGTTACCAGTAGGCTGATTTTATAGAATGTTTTAAAATAACGCCTGACCCAAATAACAGTAGGCTGATTGTATAGAATGTTTTAAAATAACGCCTGACCCAAATAACAGTAGGCTGATTTTATAGAATGTGTTAAAATAACGCCTGACCCAAATAACAGTAGGCTGATTTTATAGAATGTTTTAAAATAACGCCTGACCCAAATAACAGTAGGCTGATTTTATAGAATGTTTTAAAATAACGCCTGACCCAAATAACAGTAGGCTGATTTTATAGAATGTTTTAAAATAACGCCTGACCCAAATAACAGTAGGCTGATTTTATAGAATATTCTTAAAACAATGCCTGACCCACATAAGAGTAGGTCAAGTTAATTGACAAAAATAGCAACAAACCCCGCGGCACATGCACAAATATAAAAACGTATTATTTTTAAATTTTATTTTCAGGCTATAATTCAATAAATCACTTACCCTCTAGTGAATATTTCATCCACAATTATCGTATCGACCGACGTGGTGGCAATTATCGTATCGACCGACGTGGTGGCAATTTTTTTTTAACACGCTTTTGTTTATTACAAGCTTTTATTTAGTTTGCAACGTCTGTTTGTTTGTTTGTTTGTTTGTGGGTTTGTGGCAAGTATTGTACCTCAATTTCGACCCACTTCTAATGCAGCGGTTTCGTTCAAACTTTTCAGATACGTTCCACTTCGATGACAATACATGTATATCTATTTGTTAATTTAATACGGTATTTAATTAGTCATTAAAATTAATTAAACGGTTTAGGCACTAAGGGGGGGGATAACAAAATGAAATCACTCAATAGATTACTATATTCAATAACAGAAGGGGAGAGTACTAGCTAGACGTGAAAACCCTAACAGCAGAGTTTCTTCCAGGCATCTCTTTAGGGGGGGGGGGGGCACCCCCTGGAAAAAAGTCTAACGCCACCTCCCCGAACGAAATAAAAATTTAGATAGAAAATATATAGTTTTAACAGTGCCCCCCCCCCCCCCCCCGAAGAAAGTCTATCGCCCCCCCCCCCCCCCCCGAAAATTTCAAGTGCCCCCCGGAGAAAAAAGTCTGGAAGAAACACTGCCTACCAGTCTGGTGAGCTGTAGTTCAAGGGAATATTTAAAATCGTAGAGTAGGTCGATCTAGTGAAAGCTAGTGAGAGCAGATAATAATTTTTTTATTCTATTTGAGAATAAAGGGAGGTAAAAAAGATTAAGAATTTTTCTGTCGTCTGTATATGGTCACGGATGGCAGCTTTTCAAAGAGCAGATATTCGTCTTTTAGATATCAGGGGCAGTTTTAAACGATTTGAAAATACCGGGAGTAAGAATCGATTCTTCGCTTTATCAGCTAGTTGTTGTATGAAAATTATGTTTTTTCAAGGGGCGGATAATCGTCTTTCAGATATCGCGAGCTACAAATGGTGATTTAAAGCAAACATTTCTAGTCGTGTCGACTTCATATTTTAGAAATCACTAAAAAATAGAAAATAAAACAAATATAAAAAACATTTATAGCAACAAGCTTTAAACTGCACTGAAAATAAGAAAATAAACCGAATTTGATTTCTTTGATAACAAATATATTCGCTCATGAGATATTCTACGTATTTTAGCGACAATTTTTTTATGAAGAAAGCAAGTTCACTTTTTTAAAATTTTCAGTGCATTTAAAAGCTTGTTGCTATAAAGGTGTTTTTTTTTTCTTGTATTTGCTTTATTAAACTCAATACACGCACAAGTGACAGATGAGCATTGTCCGATGTAAATATAGAAATATTGATTTAATAAGACCGAGTTTGTTTGGTGTAGATGTGGTAACGGACAAACACGAACGTAGATATCGAGGTGTATAGACAGAGTATCTTAAACATTCTTATATAAATCAGTCAATAAATTTGTTGTGTTTCAGTTACCCCAGTACCGTCTTTAACTACGAGATGAGCTCTGACATATAGATGTTCTATTCAACAATTTATTGTGTTTCAGTACCCCCAGTACCGTCTTTAACTACGAGATGAGCTCTGACATATAGATGTTCTATTCAACAATTTATTGTGTTTCAGTACCCCCAGTACCGTCTTTAACTACGAGATAAGCTCTGACATATAGATGTTCTATTCACCAATTTATTGTGTTTCAGTACCCCCAGTACCGTCTTTAACTACGAGATAAGCTCTGACATATAGATGTTCTATTCACCAATTTATTGTGTTTCAGTACCCCCAGTACCGTCATAAAGTACGAGATAAGCTCTGACATATAGATGTTCTATTCACCAATTTATTGTGTTTCAGTACCCCCAGTACCGTCATAAAGTACTTGTATTGGGCGCCAGGAGAACCCAAGACATTGGCGCCTAACGAATGCGCCGCTGCCCGACTGTCCGACGGCCTGTGGATGACCTACGACTGTCGACTCTGGGCGTACTGTATATGCGACTCGGAACTGATGGACATACAGAATGTATCACCGTATGGTTAAATCAGCAGTAGAGGGACAGTGAATAGTTGTACCTACAAGCTTGCCACTGAGTAACGGATTTTTGTTTTATTAATGAAACTTGGGATTTGATTCAAATCGATGGGGCGTTGTCTTTTAAAAATCTAAAATAATGTTGTTTTTTTAAAACGTGTTTGAAGTCATTTTTCCAAACATGTAAAAATACATTTTAAAAACTTGCTTACTCAATCTTTTGTCGTGCTTCGTTCATCGATCGAAACTAGCAAGCAAAATTTCGACCTCTATTTACCGATCAATTTCTCCTATCCGCTTCTTTTTTTTTTAGTTAGTGGTTCTTTATTATATATTTAAAGAAAATATTTTTTTCCCGTTTTTAGTGCATTATTACATAAAAACTTGTAATTAAAACGTTTGTTATGCATTTAAAAAAAATATATTAAAAGTCATTTAAAAAAAAAAAGTTAAACGTTCTTTTTTTAAAATTTATTAAATTTCATTTTGGAAACTTTTAAAGTGCTAAGAGTTCATTAAAAAAAAATAACAAAATCACGTATTAAACATTTTGAACAAAACTGAGTTCACCGATTGCTGGTCCGGACTGTGTTATTTTAGGTAGCGTCAGCTTTATATAAACAATATCTGGTATTTATACTTAAGTGTGTGTACTTGTTAGATATTTTGGAAAAAAGTATGGAAGATTGTGATGCAAACATTAAAACTTTAGTTTTTTTATTGTAAATTTGGGGGCTCCAAAAAATCGGGGGCCCCTGACTGCAGCCCTTTCAGCCCCCCCCCCCTTTAATCAGCTATTGGAAACAGGTGAGCTCTATCTCACCTGCCCAATGGACTGTCAGGTTAGAAAATGGAACTTTTTCTTTTAGTTGTGCTACTCAAATTTAAAAAAAATTGAACAATATTTTAATTTATATTTGAATAGTATTGAAAGTGTTCAATTATAATACACGAAAGCTAATCTTGGACCTAATAAGTTTAGGAAAAGACGACACAATGAAATATCTAAATTTTTGTGAAATATTGAGTAACATGAGAATTATAAACTAATATCACTTTTCATGTATTTAGTCTAATTTTTTTAAAAACAATAACATTGCGTTTATTAACCACCACAAGAGTAAGTCATTATCTCAAGAGACACGGATATTTCCGGCTCAGGGTCGTCACCGATCATTCAGACAGGCCTCAACACTGTAACCTCATAATATGGCTTTGATAACTCTATTGACTAGCATTGCGGAGCTTTATAAACTTGGATATACTGCCATATAATACAAGTAGGTTTGTTAGAAGACTACAAAAGACTAATTAAAAAAAGACTTCCCTCCATCGCTGTCCTCTGCTGCCTTTAGGGACTCTGTAACCACCAGCCCGGTCCATTCCTTGATGTATCTCCATCCTCTTTCCTCAATACTCTGTTGTTGTTGGTCGTGGTCATTGTTGTTGGTCGTGGTTGCTGTTGTTGTTGTTTATAGTTGTTGTTGGTGATTGATGTTGTTGTTGTTGGTAGTCAGTGTTGTTGGTGGAGGTTGCTGTTATAGTTGGTGGTGGTGGTCACTGTTGTTCGTGGTGGTTGCTGTTGTTGTTGGTGGGGGTCACTGTTTTTATTGGTGGTTGCTGTTGGTGGTGGTGGTGGTCACTGTTGTTGTTGGTGGTCACTGTTGTTGGTGGTGGTTGCTGTTGGTGGTGGTTGCCACTGTTGTATGTAGTAAAGTAAGTAAAAAGTAAAGTTTCCCTTTCAAACCTGACGGTCTATGGGGCAAGTGAAGTAGAGTTCACTTGTTTCTGTGACCTCGGCATATGAAGAGATAGTGTGGTCTATGCCCAGCCGCCTTTACTTTCCCTAACTTGAGTTAGGTACCCATCAGAGTTGGGTGGACTCAGGGACGGTCTACTGACTTGAACCCGGATTCGAACTCTAGACTTACGGGTTAGCAGTCCAGCTCTCTACCGCTAGACCACTCCGTCCCACGTTGTATGTAGTGGTTGCTGTTGTTGTTGGTGGTGGTCACTGTTGTTGTTGAGGGTGGTGTCTGTTGTTGGCGGTGGTTGCTGTTGGTGGTGGTTGCCACTGTTGTATGTGGTGGTTGCTGTTGTTGTTGATGTTGGGGGTGGTCACTGTGGTTGTTGGGGGTGGTCACTGTTGTTGGTGTGGATGGTCACTGTTGCTGGTGGGGGTGGTCACTGTTGTTGGTGGTGGTTGCTGTTGTTGGTGGTGGTAGTCACTGTTGTTGGTGTGGATGGTCACTGTTGTTGGTGGTGGTTGCTGTTGTTGGTGGTGGTGGTCACTGTTGTTGGTGGTGGTAATCACAGTTGTTGTTGATGGAATTCACTGTCATTGTTTGTGGAAGTCACTATTGTGGTTGTGGACATTTAATTTCAAACCTTGTGGCGGCGGATTACATTTAATGGTGGCGAATGTAATTTCAAGTGGGTACGCTCTTGAACGATTCAGTGTCCGTTTTTTCTCATGCCCCACTACTGAAGTTAATTTTTACTTATTGATTAGGGTATTAGCGTATACCTGTTTATTGTGTTAGGTCATTCAAACAGGATTCAGTAGTTATCACGTCACAACTTCATCAAGTGACAATTAGCAACTGAAATAATTTCGGGATAGTGTGGCTGGGGAGGGGGGGGGGGGTGGGAGGGGAGGAGTTCATTGAAAATTTGTATTAAGTGTTTTGGAGAGTAGGTGGGAATAAAGTTAAATTAAATTGTGATATGTACATATAAATACTAAAATGTAGGAAATATTTTTTTAACCACACACCCATATGAGCTTTTCCCGGCTACGCCACCAAACGCGAATGTACATAAGGTGATAGGTTTCTAAATAAACCACGACCAATATTGATGGGAATTCTGTAAGATGCGTGCACCGAATTGTAATAAGTCCTTATGCTTTGACTCAATGACTTGTGTTCGACATATCAAACACCTTATCACATTAGGTCAAGCGATGTATCTCCATACAACATGCAGCTTAACCAATTGACTGTTGTAATTTATAAATGTAAATAGCAAAGTAAAGAATCCTCTTTAGACCTAGCGATCCATTTGGTAGATGAAGTAGTTTATATTTTTCTTGACATCGGCATATGAGGGGAAGGTGTGTTCTGCACTTTGTCCAGCCACCTTTACTTTCCCAAACAAGAGTTCGATACCCATCAGGGCTGCGTGGACTCAGGGACATTCTACTGACTTGAACCAGGATTCGAACTTGAGACTGTCGGGTTAGTAGTCTAGCGCTCTACCTCTTAGGCCTCGCCGCCCGTACTTTATGAATGTGTTAAGGGTTAAGTTTAAAATCATTACTACTAGTGATCGCATCAGGTGTTAATATAAATTTCTCTACCATAGTATCGTCTGCCTAAAATCCAGTCTGTTTTAGGTCGGTCTAGTTTTCAATATACATTCATCAATAATCCTAATTGTATTTTTTGACTGATAAATAGCACGAGTTAAACTGATTATCGAACCAGGGTTGTTGATTACTTATCGCGCATTGAAGTCCAAGTATAGGCAAGACTTGTAGTTGTTGGAGTAATCAAAAAGACGCCAAGGTATGGAGCCTGATTGTCGCAGAGCTCCCGCATATCTCCTGCGTGTGTTATTTCTCTTCGCAGTTTCACTTAGCTATTCGTCAGCTTTTCCATATGATAGACCATCTCTCGGTGATGTGGATACTGAGTCTACGGACTTGAAAACAACTGATTTGACACATGAAATTTTCAAAGATCTTCAACAAGTAATTATTCCTTTGCCGGGTCAGCGTGATAAACACAGACACCATAATACAAAAGAACAAATTGATAAAACAGAACAAAATGAGGCACCCAATTACCGTCAAGTCAGATACCAGGATACACCAGGACTAAATATTATAATAAATATTTACCAAAAAGAAGGCAATTTTTATAAGCCAGGATGCAATAACTCCCTCAAAGATAGTTCTTCAGAAAGTGAGGACTCATCCGAAGAATCGAAATCATCATCGAAAGAATGGACGCGATCATCAGAAGAACAGCCATCATCTTCAGAAGAAAAACCAAGTTCATCAGAAGAAAAGCCATCATCATCGGAAGAATGGCCGCGATCATCAGAAGAAAAGCCATCGTCTTCAGAAGAAAAACCCAGTTCATCAGAAGAAAAGCCGCGATCATCAGAAGAAAAGCCATCGTCTTCGGAAGAACAGCTGCGATCATCAGAAAAAGAGCCACCACCATGGACAGAATGGACGCGATCATCAGAAGAACAGCCATCATCTTCAGAAGAAAAACCCAGTTCATCAGAAGAAAAGCCATCATCATCGGAAGAATGGCCGCGATCATCAGAAGAAAAGCCATCGTCTTCGGAAGAACAGCTGCGATCATCAGAAAAAGAGCCACCACCATGGACAGAATGGACGCGATCATCAAAAGAAAAGCCATCATCATCAGAAGAAAAGTCAAGATCATCAGAACAAAAGCAAACATCATCAAAAGAAGAGCCTATATCATCTGAAGAAAAGTCCTTATCATTCAAAGCTAAATTGCCTTTAGATGAGGATGTATTGGTAGCTAACCTCCGACATAATCATAAACATACAAAAATAGAAATAATAAAAAATAGTGGTTCATCAAGCACCAGCAGCGAAAAGCAGAACATACCACATTCTTGGCTAAGAAGCGTCATACACCAGGAAGAAACAGAAACGTCTGACTTGCCTAGGCCATTAGAAAATGCGACATCTCAGACAGAAGATAAAAAACCCGAAGCACATTCTCTAGTAGAAAGTGAAACATCTCAAGCAGAATCTCAAAAACCTGCAGCACATTCTCCAGTAGAAAGTGCAACGTCTCAAGCAGAAGCTCAAAAGCATGAAGCAGATTCTGCAGTAGAGAGTGCAACATCTCAAGCAGAAGCCCAAAAACCTGAAGCACATTCTCCAGTAGAGACTGCAACACCTCAAGCAGAAGCTCAAAAACCTGAAGCACATTCTGCAGTAGAGAGTGCAACATCTCAAGCAGCAGCCCAAAAGCCTGAAGCACATTCTCCTGTAGAGACTGCAACACCTCAAGCAGAAGCTCAAAAACCTGAAGCACATTCTGCAGTAGAGAGTGCAACATCTCAAGCAGAAGCCCAAAAACCTGAAGCACATTCTACAGTAGAAAGTGCAACATCTCAAGCAGAATCTCAAAAACCTGAAGCACATTCTCCAGTAGAAAGTGCAACGTCTCAAGCAGAAGCTAAAATACCTGAAGCGCATTCTCCAGTAGAAAGTGACACACCTCAAGCAGAAGCTCAACAACCTGCAGCAAATTTTCCAGTAGAAAGTGCAACATCTCAAGCAGAAGCTCAAAAGCATGAAGCACATTCTCCAGTAGAAAGTGCAACATCTCAAGCAGAACCTCAAAAATCTGCAGCAAATTATCCAGTAGAAAGTGCAACATCTCAAGCAGAAGCTCAAAAGCATGAAGCACATTCTGCAGTAGAGAGTGCAACATCTCAAGCAGAAGCCCAAAAACCTGAAGCACATTCTCCAGTAGAGACTGCAACACCTCAAGCAGAAGCTCAAAAACCTGAAGCACATTCTGCAGTAGAGAGTGCAACATCTCGAGCAGAAGCCCAAAAGCCTGAAGCACATTCTCCTGTAGAGACTGCAACACCTCAAGCAGAAGCTCAAAAACCTGAAGCACATTCTGCAGTAGAGAGTGCAACATCTCAAGCAGAAGCCCAAAAACCTGAAGCACATTCTCCAGTAGAAAGTGCAACATCTCAAGCAGAATCTCAAATACCTGCATCACATTCCCTAATTAAAAAAGCAACATCTCAAGCAGAAGCTCAAAAACCTGAAGCACATTCCCCAGAAACGCAAGTACCACCAGTTACGAAAAAAGGCAAACACTGCTCCTTCAAACATTTGAGTAGCTGCTACGTTGTTGCCGATATGCTCCTGAAATTTGACGACTGTTCAAAAAGATGTCAGAATTCTAGGTAAGTGCAATTTAGGACACATTAAAATTTGAGCAACACTTACAGTATTGCTTCTACCCAGGCATTATTTTAATAAAAATATAGATTATAGTTTCGAAAAAAAGACACATGAATGTACCAGTTTTGTACCTTTCCTTCACAAACTAGTTACGATGTTGTGGTACCGAAATCGGCCGAAACGAAAGCATTTCTTCACAAGCAGATGGGAGGTTCAGTGAATACGCTGAGTCGCACCAACATCTATCCTTACTGGCTGGGTATTAAGTTCACAAACAACGCCTGGCACTTGCATGCGTAAGTGAAAAGTATTGCATAACAACTTTGCCTAATAGCAGCTTCTATTTGTTGCATTAAGTTTAGAATTATATAAAAAATGTAAATAAGTTTGATTTGTAAAGCATAAAATGTGAGGTTGATTTGTATTTCATGCTTTGGTAATGGTTGGCGATGGTTATTGTTTAGCAGGGGTCTCCAAACTACGGCCCGCGGGCCGCATGCGGCCCGCGAAGTCCTCTCATCTGGCCCGCGGCGATCTTTTTGTCCAAGTAAAAATCGTTTGTTGGTGATAGCTGAGGAACTTTGCCCAGAAAAATCAAAGACATGTCTGGAAGAAACTGGCCACCGAACTGAAATTTGATAGTTAATGTGGCCCTCGGCTGAAAAGTTTGGAGACCCTTGGTTTAGGGTAATTCTTTATGAAGTTGTGACCAAACGCAGTGCTTAGCACTCTTTTTGACTATACTGGCAAGACTTTGAGAGGGATCGTGTTACAGGGGCAACACGAGATGACTTAGACTAATTCCCTAATGCGCAGTCTAAGATTTCACTTTTCTGGGAGAACTACTGTCCTTTAATGCGGGAAGGGGCTCTAATATTTTATAATGAGTTTTGTTCGTTACAATGCACTTTAAAAATGTTTTTTTACGTTAAAGACTAATCCGTTTTTTATAGGAAATCTAGCGAGGCTGTTGGTTACAGCAACTTTGTGCCGGATACACCAATGTCTCCGAGCAACGATGCGTGCGCGGCCGCAGATCTGAACGACTCACTCTGGAGGATATCCGAGTGCACAGACGTGGCTCTTTGTGTGTGCGAATCGTCTGTACAGCAAAGCGAGCGGTAGACCTAGAGCCAGTCGTTGGCGTGCTTGCTTTATGTATCTATAAACAGTTGTTTGTAGCAAAAAAAATGTATTTGTATCAATAAACAATGGTCTATATTAATACACATTTCTTTGTGTCAATAAACAGTTCTTTGTGTCAATAAATAATTGTTTAAATAAATAAACAATTTTCTGTATCAATGAACAATTGTCTGTATTAATAAATAATTGTTCTGTTAGCGTTCGTCAGTGCCTTTTAGCGCGTCTTAACATTGCCGTATGTTTTATCCGACTAGACTTAACATAGCTGTGTGATTTAACTTACTAGACTTTACATTGCTGTATGTTTTCACATACTAGACTACACATTGCTGTATGTTTTCACAGACTAGACTAAATAGCTGTTTTATCTGACTAGACTTAACATAGCTGTATGTTTTTTGACCGACTAGACTGAACATAGCTGTATGTTTTGACCACTAGACAAAATCGCTTTATGTTTTATCCGACTAGACTTAACATAGCTGTATGTTTTTTGACCGACTAGACCGAACATAGCTGTATGTTTTGACCACTAGACAAAAAAGCTTTATGTTTTATCCTATTTGGCTTAACATAGCTGTAGAGTTGTGTTTTGAACGACAAGCGCAATAAAAAAATAAGCCATTATAGTACGGTGGTCAGGTTTGGGCTTGAAAAAAACAAAATCCAATTTTATCGAATGAGAAAGGGTTAGTGTTAACTCTGTTGAAGGTATCTATTATATGTAATTTCAAACATATAGCAGGATTGAATGTGTACGAAGCGAACAATGAATAAAACAAATGTAATATAAAAAAAGCCTTCATAGCAACAAGTTTGAAATGCACCAAAATAAGAAATAAAAATTTCATAAAAATATTTTAATAACAAGATTTTATGTAATTATACACTAAAAGGTAGAAAAGAAATTATAGACTACAATTTAAATAACTATAAAGAAAAGCGTGGGTCACTTTAGTATCTACTGGATACCTTTACTAATATTTGAGAAGACACCCACGCTTTTCTTTATAGTTATTTAAATAGTAGTGTATAATTTATTTTCTACCGTTCAGTGCATTATTACATAAAAGCTTGTTATTAAAACATTTTTTAATGATATTTATTTAAGTGCATTACATGTGTTTACAATAGAGTTTCATGACTAAAAAACCATTGCACGCCTATTGAACGTGATGACGCAGCTATTGAACGTGAAATGCCTACTAATTCGGTCAAAAGTTTGATTTATACATAAACAATTAATTAGGCATCAAATTAAGTCAAAATTTAATTTCAGATTGCATTGTCTTCATGTCTTGACCCATGAGCCAACTGTAAACCGTATCTGTCAGTTAGAAGTGTCCGAGTTTTCGCTCCGGCGTTTCGATCTAGACTGACAACAGACAGAGGAAGTGAGTTAATTAAAAGCTTGTAAAAAACTAATTTATCAAAAAAAAAAAAAACTTTTATCGCTAAAAATTTATTTGTTTGTCTGATTTCGTACTGTAAGTAAACTGGTCTATATGGGAGGCTGTAAAATAGTATGTAGGTAGAGAACAATTTTTTATTGCAGACAGACTGTTAATCACACATTTATTTAAATACGTTAATTAATTTATTGATTTATTCATAGGTAGATTTACCACATTTTTAAAAAAGTTTTAGAACAATGGCTTAATTTTGACTGAATAGTGACGTTTGATAACTCATTTTGTTGTCATTATGTGTAGAGTTGTAAAATAGGATTTTGGGTGGTAAATATTGTTCTTTCTTGAACACACTGTTAATTACTAACTAATTTAAAGCCGTTAATTAATTTATTGATATATTCATAGGTAGATTAACCACATTTATTATAAAAGTTTAGAACATTGACTATAGTAATAGTTAAAGTTGTCCTGATATATTCTGTCCTGGTATCTTTTGTCCGTGAGATCATTTGTCCTTGAGATCATTTGTCCTGAGATCATTTGTCCTGAGATCATTTGTCCGTGAGATATTTTGTCTGAGATATTTTGTCTGAGATCATTTGTCCTGAGATCTTTTGTCATGGAACCGTTAAGGGGGGTGTAAATTTAAAAAGTTTGAGGGGGGGGGGGGGGTGTTGCAAATCAAAAGTTTGAGGGGGGGGGTGCAAATCGAAAAGTTTGTCCCCGGGCGCCGGGAACGGTCGCTACGCCTCTGGCTGGCAGACGTGATGTCATTTATGGATGACCCCCCGAAACCCACAGTTATCTAACTAGATAACGGGTAGTCTAGTATACTACTAAAACTCAAGTTTGTTTACATGTTTGAATATTTATTTGTTTGTCCGTTTGGCTACTATGTGTAGAGCTGTAAAATAGTAATTAGGTAGAGAACAATTTTTTTTTTCAGAAAGACTGTTAATCACAAATTTAGTTGAAGACGTTAATTAATTTATTGATTTATTCATTGGTAGATTAACCACATTAATTATAAAAGTTCAAAACAATGAGCTTACTTAGAGTGAATAGTGACGTCACATGATTTATTTACTTTTTAAAACAACAATGTCCGTTCGATCGAAGATTGTGTTGCCCATTCAGATCTTTAACGCGTTCTATAGCTAATTTTCTGTCGGCTATAACTTTAACAATACGTCCGTTTGCTGTTTTTATTACGTTTTTATTATATTCCAACACTTATATCAATTTTCAACTGTCTTTTTCATTTAGCTTTACAATAAGTTTCTCTAGCTCTACAATCTAAAGTTGTTTATAGATCTAAAGATCAGCTGACCAAGAATGTTATTTATAGATCTAGAATCTAGGTAGAACAAAATTATTTTAAAATCAGAAAAATTTATTGAGTTTCTTTATTAAACTATTTGTCCTTAAATATTTGATATAAATCTTTGCTTGTTAGCTTCACGAATCATCTTATTCAAGAATACAAGTGTTATTTTTATTTTGACAGCTCTAGACTATTCTAGACTCTAGAACTAGATTCTAGAGTTGATACGGCAAATACTAGATCTCCAAATTAATCGCAGAATCTAGAAAGAATTATCTAGATCTAGAGAAATCTTGCTCTAGATAAAAATGAGTTTTTATACTAAACTATTTTATATTAATCTTTGTTAGTTTAGCTATAGAATTGACTTATCGTAAATTCTAGATCTAGACTTACGTAAATTCTACATCTAGAATCTAGATCTAGAATCTTTTTCAGGACTTAATTATTTTATATAAATATTTATTTAGCTTCAATGATCATGTAATTCGAGAATGCATGGGATTTATCTATCTTATAATCTAGGACCTAGGTTCTAGATCAAGAATCTATATAGATCTAGAGTTACGGCGAAAACTAGAATCTAGACTCAACGTAAATTCTACATCTAGAATTTAGAACTAGAATCTATATACTAAACTATTTCAGGCCTTAATTATTTATATAAATCTTTGTTTAGCTACGGAATTAACTAATTTGGGATATAGGCTCATAATTAAAATTAAAATAATAGGACCTCTTCGCGTAACTTAGTGTCTTACTTTGCAGTAGAATATAGGACTAATTCTACATTGGTTAGTAAGTGCCCCTATAGCTATAATGGTAGTGTAATGGCTACCATGCAGATGGTACGTTTTCGATGACACATCACGATAAAGTAATTTTTTTTTCAATTTTTGTTTTTATAAACGTGAATTATGAAGTTGCCTATCGGGACCTCGAGGGACACAGGGCAGGTGAAGTAGAGTTCTTATTTTTCTTTGTCCTCAGCATATGAAGGGATAGTGTGGTCGGAATCATGCTCGGCTGGAATCGTTTTTTTACACGATAAAACATGTTGTCTGAGACTTGGCGGGACACTGGGCAGGTGAAATAGAGTTGAGTAGGTCACCTGTTACGTCAGTATATGAAGGGATAGTGTGGTCAGACCCATGCTCAGCCGAAATCGGTGTTTTTAAAAGATAAAAAACGTCTTTTTGATTGTGGGGTCTGGTTATTTTGTGATGATAAGTGACAGACGTGATGTCATTTATGGATGACTCCCGAAACCCACAGTTATCTAACTAGATAACAGGTAGTCTAGTGATATCGTTCGTTCACTAAGTCGTTCGTTCATGGGTTGTTCGCTCACCAGGTTAGTTTCATCGTGCCACTAGCTTTCTTGTTGTGTTCGGCTGGTCATGTGTTGAATGAATTGATCAAACTTGACTGATGGTTAAAACAGCCAGGTCACTTAAATCTAATCTTATTTTCTCTTTGTCAGTCTAATTGGGATTTGATTGAAAACACTAAATCTACATCAGAATCTTGCCGTGTTGCTTTGGGGAGGGGGTGGGGGGAAAGGGGGTATTTGCTTATAAGGGGTATATTTGTGGTTTTTTAATATGGGTAACATATGTGGTTTTTTATATGGGGAACATATGTTGTTTTCAGTATTGGTAACATATTTGGTTTTCTATATGTTGTTGTTTATTTGGAGAACAGACAAACAGACAGACAGACCGACAGACAGAACGACCGAACGACCGATCGACTGACCGACCGACCGACCGACCGACCGAATGTCTGACTGACTGACTGACTGACTGACTGACTGACTGACTAACTGACTGACTGACTGACTGACTGACTGACTGACTAAATGACTGACTAAATGACTGACTGACTGACTGACTGACTGACTGACTGACTGACTGACTGATTGACCGACTGACTGACTGACTGACTGACTGACTAAATGACTGACTAAATGACTGACTGACTGACTGACTGACTGACTGACTGACTGACTGACTGACTGACTGACTGACTGACTGACTGACTGACTGACTGACTGACTGACTGACTGACTGACTGACTGACTGACTGACTGACTGACTGACTGACTGACTGACTGACAACCGTCCAACTAACTGACCAACTGACTGACGAAGGTGCAATCATTTTGAATTTTTCTGCTTTAGATCTGCTCACTAATGTGTTATAATAGGGAATAAACTAACTGGATTTGTTTATCACAAATAAAAAAGAACAAATAACTCCCAAAGTTTTATCGACCTAGACATATTGATTTATCCATTTTGCACCAGTAATTAACCCAGACGTCAAACCAGAGTACACACCGCGCTACCATAGGTACCAATAAACAACCAAATGTTTCTAAACAAACAAAACAAGAAATCTCTCAAAACGACCAGAATCTAAAAGTACTTCCACCAACAGGAAAGAACAACACGGAAGTGCTTGTTACGGAAGAGAATATCAGAATCACGCGAACTTATGGAGCCCGCTTGATACTAAAATAAATAAACTTATAAACGACAGTTTACACCAGGCAAAACGAGGAAGAAAATATTTGTATAAAGTTGACCCCACGACTTTCGCCCGTTGGCATGTTGGAAACAGGTCGGCCATCTTTGAAAGAAGTTATCAAAACACCACCAGGAAGGACTGCTCGCTAGGCTTCGTTAGGAAAGGTGACCGGTGCTACTCGTACTTTGATGTACTCACCACGAACGATGTTTGTGTGTCGCTTTGTAGTATATCCTTGTAAGTGCAGCTTTAAACTTCTCATTATATAGCATAACTACTAATTAGCCATGACCAGCTTAACATTGCTTATAACGGTTATATAGGAATTTGGACTTTGTCAGAAATAAATGCAACAATAAAAGTATCCAAGCAAATAATAAACTAAGGACGGTGTGGACGGTAGTAAAGCGCGCAACTGCTAACCCGAAAAGGCTCAAGTTCAGTTAGTGGTAGTAGTAAACAGTATACAGTAAAGAATAGATTAGTAGGTTAGGTAGGAAGTTGATAATACATTTTTATAAAGAACATTGTATTTTTGAACTTGAACGTGCGCTGGATATTTCTTCATCTCAATTCATCACCCCCACTCTCACATCTGGGTGGTTGTTGTTTATCCCCCATTACAACTGGTGTGGCTGAAGATCAATACATCCACTCGTACCCTCACACCCTCCTACTGAAGTTAATTTTTACTTATTGATTAGCGTAAACCTATTTATTGTGTTTGGTCATTTAAATAGGATTCAGTAATTACCACGTCACAACCTCTTCAAGTGACAATACGCAACTAAAATAATTTCTGGATAGTGTGGCTGAGGGGGGGGGGGGGGGGGGGGGGGTAGGATGTGGGGGGAGGAGTTAATTGAAAATTTTGAAAATTTTGAAAATTTTGTATTTAGGGTTTAGGAGAGTAGGTGGGTATAAAGTTACAATAAATTGTGATATGTACATATAAATACTGAAATGTAGAAAATATTTTTTTTAACCACACACCCCTATGAGCTTTTCCGGGCTACTGCCACCGAACGAATGTACAGGAGGTGTTCGACATATCAAACATCATATCACATTAGATCAAGCGATGTATCTCCCTACAACATGCAGCTTAATCAATTGACTGTTGTAATTTATAAATGTGAAGAGCAAAGTAAAGAATCCTCTTTAGACCTAGCGATCCATTGGGCAGATGAAGTAGTTTATATTTTTCTTAACCCATCAGGGCTGGGTGGACTCAGGGACATTCTACTGACTTGAACCAGGATTCGAACTCGAGACTGTTGGGTTAGTAGCCTTGCGCTCTACCTCTTAGGCCATGCCGCCCATAATTTATAAATGTGTTAAGGGTTAAGTTTAAAATCATTACTCCTAGTGATAGAATCAGGTGTTAATATAAATCTTTCTACCACAGTATTGCCTGCCTAAAATCCAGTGTGTCTTAGGTCGGTCTAGTTTTCAATATAAATTCATCAATAATCCTAATTGTATATTTTGATTGATAAATAGCACGAGCTAAAATGAACCAGGGTTGTTGATTACTTATTCGCGCATTGAAGTCCAAGTATACGCAAGACGTGTAGTTGTTGGAGTAATCAAGAAGACGCCAAGGTATGGAGCCTGATTGTCGCAGAGCTCCCGCATATCTCCTGCGTGTGTTATTTCTCTTCGCAGTTTCACTTAGCTATTCGTCAGCTTTTCCATATGATAGACCATCTCTCGGTGATGTGTATAGCGAGTATACGGACTTGAAACCAACTGATTTGAGACATGGAATATTCAATGATCTTCCACAAGTAATTATTCCTTTGCCGGGGTGGCTTGATAAACACAGACACCATAATACAAAAGAACAAAATGATAAAACAGAACAACATGAGGTAACCGGATACCGTGGAGCAGTCGGATACTATGATACACCAGGACCAAATATTATAATAAATATTTACCCAATAGAAATCAGTTTTTCAGAAAGCGATGAATCATATGAAGAGTCGAAATCATCATCAGAAGAATGGCCGCGGTCATCAGAAGAAAAGACATCATCATCGGAAGAATGGCAGCGATCATCAGAAGAAAAGACATCATCATCGGAAGAATGGCCGCGATCATCAGAAGAAAAGCCATCATCATCGGAAGAATGGCCGCGATCATCAGAAGAAAAGCCATCATCATCGGAAAAATGGCCGCGATCATCAGAAGAAAAGCCAGCATTATCAGAAGAAAAACTTATATCAATAAAACCAAAACTTGCTTCAGATGAGGATGCATTGGTAGCTAACCTTCTACATAAACATAAAACGACAAAAATAGAAATAATAAAAGTAAGCAGTTCATCACAAATAAGCAGCAAAAAGCAGAAAAAACCATATCCTTTGCTAAGAAAAGCCACACTTCAGGACAAAACACAAACGTCTGATGTGGCTACGACAGTAGAAAATGCGACATCTCAGACTGAAGCACATGCTCCAATAAAAAAAACTGCATCTCAAGCAGAAGCTCAAAAACCTGAAGCACATTCTCCAGTAGAAAGTGCAACGTCTAAAGCAGAGGCTAAAAAAACTGATGCACATTCTCCAGTAGAAAGTACAACATCTCAAGCAGAAGCCCAAAAACCTGAAGCACATTCTCCAGTAGAAAGTGCAACATCTCAAGCAGAATCTCAAATACCTGCAGCACATTCCCCAATAAAAAAACAAACATCTCAAGCAGAAGCTCAAAAACCCGAAGCACATTCTCCAGAAACGCAAGTACCACCAGTTACGAAAAAAAGCAAACACTGCTCCTTCAAACATTTGAGTAGCTGCTACGTTGTTGCCGATATGCTCCTGAAATTTGACGACTGTTCAAAAAGTTGTCAGAATTCTAGGTAAGTGCAAATTAGGACATATTAAACTTTGTGCAACACTTAAAGTATTGCTTGCACCCAGGCAATATTTTAATCAAAATATAGATTATTGTTTCGAAAAAAAAAGACACATGAATGTACCAGTTTTGTACCTTTCCTTCACAAACTAGTTACGATGTTGTGGTACCGAAATCGGCCGAAACGAAAGCATTTCTTCACAAGCAGATGGGAGGTTCAGTGAATACGCTGAGTCGCACCAACATCTATCCTTACTGGCTGGGTATTAAGTTCACAAACAACGCCTGGCACTTGCATGCGTAAGTGAAAAGTGTTGCATAACAACTTTGCCTAATAGCAGCTTCTATTTGTTGCATTTAGATTAGTATTATTTCAAAAAGGTAATTAAGTTTGATTTGTTAAGGATAAAATGTTACGTTGATTTGTATTTTTTGCTTTGGTAATGGTTGGCGATGGTTATTGTTTAGGGTAATGCTTTATGAAGTTGTGACCAAACGCAGTGCTTTGCACTCTTTTTGACTATACTGGCAAGACTTTGAGAGGGATCGTGTTACAGGGGCAACACGAGATGACTTAGACTAATTCCCTAATGCGCAGTCCAAGATTTCACTTTTCTGTAAGAACTATTGTCCTTTAATGCGGGAAGGGGCTCTAATATTATATAATGATTTTTGTTTGTTACAATGCACTTTAAAAATGTTTTTTTACGTTAAAGACTAATCCATTTTTTATAGGAAATCTAGCGAGGCTGTTGGTTACAGCAACTGGGTGCCGGATACACCAATGTCTCCGAGCAACGATGCGTGCGCGGCCGCAGATCTGAACGACTCACTCTGGAGGATATCCGAGTGCACAGACGTGGCTCTTTGTGTGTGCGAATCGTCTGTTCAGCAAAGCAAGCGGTAGACCTAGAGCCAGTCGCTGGCGTGCTTGCTTTATGTATCTATAAACAGTTGTTTGTAGCAAAACAATGTATTTGTATCAATAAACAATTGTTTATATTAATACATATTTCTTTGTGTCAATAAACAGTTCTTTGTGTCAATAAATAATTGTTTAAATAAATAAACAATTTTCTGTATCAATAAACAATTGTCTGTATTAATAAATAATTGTTTTGTTAGCGTTCGTCAGTGCCTTTTAGCGCGTCTTAACATTGCTGTATGTTTTGTCCGACTAGACTTAACATAGCTGTGTGTTTTAACTTACTAGACTTTATATTGCTGTATGTTTTGACTTACTAGACTTAACATTGCTGTATGATTTATCCGACTAGACTTAACATAGCTGTGTGTTTTAACTTACTAGACTTAACATAGCTGTGTGTTTTAACTTACTAGACTTTACATTGCTGTATGTTTTCACAGACTAGACTAAATAGCTGTTTTATCCGACTAGACTTAACATAGCTTTATCTTTTGACCGACTAGACTGAACATAGCTGTATGTTTTGACCACTAGACAAAATAGCTTTATGTTTTATCCGATTTGGCTTAACATAGCTGTAGAGTTGTGTTTTGAACGACAAGCGCAATAACAAAAAAAACCCTTTATAGTACGGTGGTCAGGTTTGGGCTTGAAAAAAACAAAATCTAATTTTATCGAATGAGAAAGGGTTAGTGTTAACTCTGTTGAAGGGGGAGCCGGACGTTTTACCGAAAGACACTTGCCCGAATGCCGTTTGCCCGAAGGCCGAATTCCCGAATGGACACTTGCCCGAATGCGACAAATGCCCGAATGGACACTTGCCCGAATGCGACAAATGCCCGAATGGACACTTGCCCGAATGCGACAAATGCCCGAATGGACACTTGCCCGAATGCGACAAATGCCCGAATGGACACTTGCCCGAATGCGACAAATGCCCGAATGCCACTTGCCCGAAGGCCGTTTGCCCGAAAAATGTAAAAATTGAATAAAAAATTATATAACCAAATAGACATTCAAAATCAATTCAAGTTTGAAATTTTGATAATCAACATTGTTTTAAGCATAAAAACAAATTTGCTTATATTTTTAAAATTTAGCTTTTATTATTATTTTTTTTTAATATGAGAAATCGCTGTAAAAAAATTCTTTATTCTTCAATAAATGTAAGGTGATGTCGGCGGCGGTATCTTAACATTCTTTTGATGTGTAAGTTTTGACCACCTTGTGTAGCCGACGTGTTGCGGTGGTTTATAACGTTTATGACACGGTGTAGGCGGCGCGGCGTTTCGCAACATTGAACAGAGGCGAGTTTGTTTGATTTATCTTGTTATGCTAAACTTGTGAGGTGATCAGTCAACAATAGAATGGGGCGGGGCCTAGGCGGCGAATTAAAAAACTAATGTTAGTCTTTTATGTTTGATCTCTATTTAAATACAAATTAATTAATAATATCTTCGTGTTAATATATATGATATTAAATATTTTCCCTTTATTTTTGTTAATATATGTATTGTTTATCAAAATTTCAAATTTAAATTGATCACGAATGACTATTTGGTAATATTTTATTGATAACATTTTTCGGGCAAACGGCCTTCGGGCAAGTGGCATTCGGGCATTTGTCGCATTCGGGCAAGTGTCCATTCGGGCATTTGTCGCATTCGGGCAAGTGTCCATTCGGGCATTTGTCGCATTCGGGCAAGTGTCCATTCGGGAATTCGTCGCATTCGGGCAAGTGTCCATTCGGGCATTTGTCGCATTCGGGCAAGTGTCCATTCGGGAATTCGGCCTTCGGGCAAACGGCATTCGGGCAAGTGTCTTTCGGGAATTTGTCGTAGACCCGTTGAAGGTATCTATTATATGTAATTTCAAACATATAGCAGGATTGAATGTGTACGAAGCGAACAGTGAATAAAACAAATGTAATGAAAAAAAGCCTTCATAGCAACAAGCTTGAAATGCACCAAAATAAGAAATAAAAATTTCATAAAAATATTTTAATAACAAGATTTTATGTAATTATACACTAAAAGGTAGAAAATAAATTATAGACTACTATTTAAATAACTATAAAGAAAAGCATGGGTCACTTATGTACCTTTTGGATACCTTTACTAATATTTGAGAAGAGACCCACGCTCTTCTTTATGGTTATTTAAATAGTAGTGTATAATTTATTTTCTACTGTTTAATGCATCCTAATATATAAAAGCCCAATGTGCGCACATCTCTCTCTCTCTCTCTCTCTCTTTCTCTGTCCGCAAAAAATTTTCGCCGGACATCACGTCAGAATCGGCAGCGGTATATGGAGAACTTTTTACGGACTTTTGTTGAAAATAATATGTTAGATGTTTTAAATGTATAACCACAATTTTACTTAAAGAAGAAAAATAAAAATTAAAGGCGTATTCGAATGTAGAGAAACAGTATTATTTATGCAACCGGAAAAGCATTAATATATGTGAAAAAGAACGCATAAAACTGTGACGTCACTATTGCTTATACATTAACTAATGACGTCATCTGCCGTGTTAAGAATGAAAAGAAATGAACTATTTCATTCAAATTTGATTTAGATCTACGTACACTATGAAATGTATACAATACAATTTTTCCGGCCTAAACTCATAAAATTTATTTTATGTATTTGGATTCTAGATCTAGAGATTCTAGATCTAGACTAAATCTAAATCTAAATCTACGCAATAACTAGATCTAGACGTAGACGCTAAGATCTAGATTTAGACTCTAACTTCTCTAAAATCAATTCCAAAAATAAATTTCTATATTAGGACTAAACTATTTCAAGACTTATTTATTTTATACAAAATCTTTGTTTGGAACTGGCTAATTTGGGATAAAAAATTAATTTGAAAGAATAGGCATATTCGCGTAAGTTAAGATTTTAAAATACGTGTTTCATTCTCCGTATTTTATAAGGTGCCTAAATAGCGGAGATGTTAGTGTACATTAAACCACGCAGGAGGTGCGGGTTCGAGACACAGCAAGTCAACTTGGTTAATGTATTCTTTTTTATTATGCTCGGGCTAAACTTAAAAAAAAAATTCTTTTAGGAATCTAGATCTAGATCTAGATTCCCGGCGCCGCAGGCGCTTCAAATTTGGCATGATCTTGCCTTGGTGCGACAGAACACGGGGGCCGGTTGGCCGAAAAGTCTACGATGTGGGGGTCAAAACTGACCTCGACTGACCGGTACCTTATATGAGCTATAAATCGAAAAAAAATGTCCACGGAGGAACCTCTTCATAACTCTTGAGGTCGTAGACCGACCTTCGGGCGAATTAATTAAGCATTCAAATTCTCAATGTTTTCGAAAGCCTAAGCGAAGCTGGGCAGCATGCCTAGTTATTACATAAAAGCTTGTTATTAAAACATTTTTTAATGAAATTTATCTAAGTGCATTATTTGTGTTTACAATAGAGTTTCATGACTAAAAACCATTGCACGCCTATTGAACGTGATGACGCAGCTATTGAACGTGAAATGCCTACTAATTCGGTCAAAAGTTTGATTTATACATAAAAAATTAATTAGGCATCCAATTAAGTCAAAATTTAATTTCAGATTGCATTGTCTCCATGTCTTGACCCATGAGCCAACTGTAAACCGTATCTGTCAGTTAGAAGTGTCCGAGTTTTCGCTCCGGCGTTTCGATCTAGACTGACGACAGACAGAGGAAGTGAGTAAATCAAAAGCTTGTAAAAAAACTAATTTATAAAAAATAAAAACTTTTATCGCTGAAAAAATTGTAAAAGATCACACGAGCGATAAAAGCAGCTTTTCTCAAATAAACCAAATTAGTTTTATTTTCTTATTTTCTGTGCATTTAAGTTGATATGCGCGGAAAAAAAAATCACAAAATTTCTTGTTTTTCGTCATGATGGGTTTCTTGCACTTTTGGATACTTTGTCAATTTTTGTATATAGAAAAAAATAACTTTAAAGAGAAAAAAATATTTTATGTGTTTGAATTACGATTTTTATGACCCTATTAATTAAAAAACAATCAATTTTTCCCAATCTTACAAGCTCTCTATGAAGAGTTTTATATCCGTCATTATATTGTATTTGACATCATTGGAAACCTGGATTTCTCATGTATTTAATAAACTTAAATTCCTACATCTCGGAAACACACAAAGCTTACAATCGGCTTTGCAGTTTACACAGATATGGTACTTTCCTGACCTAGTTTTCGTTACTTGTGGCTGTTTTTCTCAGTTCTCAGGTTCTTAACACTAAATAGCCTACTACTTTTTAGCGCAATTTCCATTCTGGAGAATTGCGTTTATTCATCCGTCATTTCTGGTTGTATGAATGTATGAATGGATGTGTGTCCGCAGCTTTAAGTCGTATCTCCTCATCAACGAAGCAATTTCGAGGACTAGTTCCAAAAGAAATTATGTTAATTATGTTACGAGGATGATTATAGGCCAAAATAATTCCGGGTTTCTTTCATGGATTTCCCGGAAAAGCCAAAAAACCTCAAAAAATGCAGTTTTTTGCCAATATCTCGGCAACCACACGACTTAGAGACTTGAAACATGTAGCAATCGATTCCTGCCATAATTTAGAACAATATTGCCAAAGAAAGTTTTCAAAAATATCCTTTCGTTCGGTCACAAAATTTTTTTTGAATTAATTTAAATTTGGACCGAATTATTAGGCATTTTTATCCAACCACACCACACGCGTCATCACGTTCAATAGCTGCGCCATCACGTTCAATGGTTGCGACATCACGTTCGGTAGCTAGGCGCGCAATGGTTTTTAGTCATGTAACTCTATTGTAAATAAAACATGCAAAATACTGAAAAAAAATTAATAAAAAACGTTTTAATAACTAATTAACTAACCGATGGTTTTACTAACCCTGCTCTTGATTTACGCTACGACAGAGCTATTTTTAGATAACATAAGGAAATTGCGCTAAAATTGTCACTAGACTTTTTAATTACCTTGTTTATTTATTAAACAATACCAACTATATTTTCAGTAAATGTTCTTGATGCGAAAATACAACTTTTGTCACGAGGGAATTGTGATTGCTTTCATAGAAAAAAAGTATTTGGTAATTAATATGCACAT